GCCTAACCAACATGAAGAAACCTCGTCTCTACTAAAAATACAAAATTAGCCAGGTGTGATGGCACATGCCTGTAATCCCAGCTACTCGGGAGGCTGAGGCAGGAGAATCGCTTGAACCTGGAGGCAGAGGTTGCAGTGAATTGAGATCGTGCCATTGCACTTCAACCTGGGCAACAAGAGCAAAACTTTGTCTCAAATATATGAATAATGAAGATCCTCCAACATATTGCCTTCTAGGGTTCCACTGAAGGCAATACATTGCATGCCAGAAACGGAAACCTCCTCAGAAACCTGACCTTATATATATAAGCCAAGCGTGGTGGCACACATCTGTGGTTCTAGCTAACTGGGAGGCTGAAGTGGCAAGACTGTTTGAGCCCCGGAGGTGGAGGTAATGGTGACTCAGGACTGTACCACAGCACTGTAGCCTAGGTGACAGAGAACCTGCCTCAGAAAGAAATTTAAAAAGCCCTAATTTTTGGGGTTTGAAAATGAAATTGCTTCCCAGCTTCTCCAGAGGGCAAACTACTCTCAAATTAAGAAATAGCTTCCCAGTAAAGTGTGGGCACAGCATCTCTTGTTAAAAGCACAGAAAGGTTTAACGCAATAACCCTTTCAAACAGACAAAATCCTTCTAAAAAGCTTAAGGGGTGCTTACTGTTTCTCTTTATTAAATAATTGAATTTCTAAGAATATTAAGGCACTGTCCCACAGCAGCCTCAAAAGGAACCTAAGGCAGAAAGGACTCGTATGAGCCAAAAAGATGTGAGGTCACGGCTTTTTTCCCAATGGGGGAAAACCCAGTAAGAATCATATAAAATTCTCAAAGTGTTTTAGAAACTGCTTGGACTAAAAGGGAAGAAGACAGTACAAGGTGAAAAGAGAGCTTTGGATCTCAAAACTTCTATGGGCTGAAAGGAGGCTGAGAAAACCACCAAGGGAAAATACAGGTTACATTTTAGAAAAAGGAAGATTAAATACAGAAAGTGGAACCAAGAGCCCAGAAGGCAGAGCCGTAGAGAATCACTGAGTAGAAATGGACCCTAATCAAGGAACCAGAAACACATGCCTGACTGGATTTCATAATTACCACAAACCAGCAACTGCTGTGCACCTCCTGTTTTTTTGTATTGCTCTCTCTCTCTCTCTCGGCTATTTTATATTTTTACTAGAGACAGGGTTTTGCCATGTTGCCCACACAGGTCTTGAGCTACTGACCTTAAGTGATCTACCCGCTTCAGTCTCCCAAAGTGATGGGATTACAGATGTAAGCCACTATTTTGTCCTTTTTGAGTGCAAATGTTCTTTCTTCTTCTTCTTCTTCTTTCTTCTTCTCTTCCTTCTTCTTCTTTCTTCTCCTTCTTCTCGTTCTTCTAGAACGTGGCTTCTAGGGAAAACCTAAACTGCATGCTGTCTTTTTTTTTTTTTTTTTATGTACTGCATGCTGTCTTGACTGGAAATGTTTACTGCAATTTTCTGAAGGCTGTCCCACCATTGTACATTGGGTTTGGAGGACAAATAACTTCTCTTAGTTCACAGGACTTCAGATCAAGAACCTTTCAGAGCTATGACTAAGGAATCACACTCAAGATACCTCACCCATACCTAGAAGTGATATGGGAAACAAGTTCCTGGACTCCAAGCCTGAACCTGATAGCATGAGATGTTGGAGACTGAATGTCATGAAGGTATTAGAAAAAATATTTAAAATAAAGAGATGCTTGGAAATGTCTTAAGATGGACAATGGCAGTTTAAATGTAGGAGAAATATAAAATTTTTGGTCAAAGGCAGACTGTGACAGCTTTAAAATAATTATTTGACATTCCTACCATTGAAAAGTGGAGTTGGCCAGGTGTAGTGGCTCATGCCTGTAATCCCAGCATTTTGGGAGGCTGAGGCTGGTGGATCACTTGAGCCCAGGAGTTTGAGAACAGCCTGGGAAACATGACAAGACCTTCCTTTCTACAAAAAATACAAAAATTAGCTAAGTGTGGTTGTATTTGCCTATAGTCCCAGCTATTCAGGAGGCTAAGGTGGGAGGATGGCCTGAGGGGGCGGAGGTTGAAGCAGCGAGCTGAAACAGCGCCACTACACTCCAACCTGGGCAACCGAGCCAGACCTTATCTCAAAAAAAGAAACAGAGGGCCTGGTGCGGTGTCTCACACCTGTAATCCCAGCACTTTGGGAGGCTGAGTTGGGCAGATCATGAGGTCAAGAGATCGAGACTATCCTGGCCAACATGGTGAAACCCCATCCCTAAAAAAATAAAAATAAATAGAAAAGAAAAGGGGGAAAGAGAGAGAGAAAGGGAGGAAGGAAGAAAGGAAGGGAGGGAGGGAGGAAGGAAAAAAGGAAGGGAGGGAAGGAGGGAGGGAGGGAGGAAAGAAGGAAGGAGAGGGAGGGAAAAGTGGAGTCTATGTCTCCTCCCTTTCAGTGTTGGCTCTGTAAACTACTTGATGAATAGAAAATAGCAGAAGTGGGCCCAGTGCAGTGGCTGTAATTCCAGCACCCAAGATGGGTGGATCATTTGATCCTAGGAGTTTGAGACCAGCCTAGGCAACATGGAAAACCCTGTCTCTACAAAAAATAAAATAAAAATTAGCCAGGCATGGTGGCACATGCCTCTAGTCCCAGCTACTTGGAAGGCTGAGGAAGGAACATCACTTTGAGCCCAGGAGGTAGAGGTTGCAGTGAGCCAAGATTGCCCCACTGCACTCGAGCCTGTGCGACAGAGTGAGAACCTGCCTCAAAAAAAATATATATATATATATTTTTATATTCTGATATATATATTTTTTTATATTCTGATGTATATATATCAGAAAATGCATGTAAATCCCTTAGCTCAGTGCCTGGTATGTAGTAAGTGCTCAATAAATAGCTGTCATCATTGTTACTTGGTCATTGATATTGGCTGAGCTGGTGTTGACTGGCATGGCCTCAAATAATAATAGGACTTCTCCTAGGTAAGAGCACTAAGAATTCTATTAGGTAGGCTGGGCAAGTGCCAGTTTGCCTTGTGCAACAGGCTCTGCAGCTGGATAACTCTGGAAGCAGAAATTCCAAACAGAATCTAGCTATTTGTTTGGTTCCAGATAGAAGTCACTCCAGTTCAGCTGCTATTGGAAACTTACTCATCTGCTAACCCTGAATATCAGTGGGTGTGAAGATAAACAGGCAAAAAGTAAACAAGGTAAAAGAGACAGACTTCCGTACCCACGAACAAGATCAGCCTTGCGCACAAAGGCTCAACTCCTCTAGAGTGAATAGAGAATCTAGCTTGATTTTATGTTAGCTAGTCAATTCAGCCAGTTAAATGTTCATTTAAAATTGACTTGCATAAAAACTGAAAGTTTGTGCTGAAGAACATCCAAAGCAAGAGATGGTGAGGCTGCTGCTGCCAAGAAGCTTATTATCTAAATGCTATGAATTCACTCATTCTTGCATTTATTCTCTCATTCTGCCACCAGAATGCCTTCCCTTAGCTGGTCTCTTTGCCTCCTGTCCTGCTCAAGCTGTTATTTTTACCATAGCCAGAGTAAACCTTCTAAAATGCAATTCTAATCCTGACATCCCCCTGATTTTAAATCTTTGGTGGGTCCCTGTTCCTTGAACAAAGTCCAAACTCTTTGTTTTGTTTTGTTTTTTTGTTGTTGTTTATAAGATGGGGTTTCACCATGATGGCCAGGCTGGTCTTGAACTCCTGACCTCAGGTGATCCACCCTCCTCGGCCTCCCAAAGTGTTGGGATTACAGGCGTGAGCCACCGTGCCCGGCCAAGTCCAAACTCTTTAACATGGTTCACAAGAAACTTTATGATCTGCCTTGAAACCTTCCAATGGCTTTGAACTACTTCTGTACTAGAATCCATACTCTTTCTCGTGTCCCACTAGGGAACTCAGACAGCTTAAGGAACATGCTTAAGTGATAGAACCCACTCTGACTGATTCCAAAGCCCATGTCCCAGACCAGAGCTGCTCAAAGCAGCTTTACAATGAACTATTTGTTAATTGTCCAAGCCTAGGGCAGTGACAGCCTGGGTCAAAATGTAAATCAATGCAATGCTACCTTCATGGAGAGAGTCTTGCTGTGAAGAAAATATCAGCTGAACAGTATGATTAGTGATGTAGTTGATTTACCTCCTGCTCCATATCTCATTGGAAGCCAACAGTAGTTTGCGGATCAGAAGCTACACAAACTGTGTACCACACTTCACATAGCATTGCTCTAGTCTGACCCCCAGGCTGTACAGTAAGTCCTCACTTAACGTTGTCAATAAAATCTTGGAAACTGGGACTTCAAGCAAAACATATAAGGAAACCAATTTGGCATAGGCTAATTGATACAAACAAGTTCAATTCCTTTGGCATGTTTCTTGGTAACAAAATCATCACTGAACTTCTATATAAAGACTCAAAACACTTCTAAAATTAAATATTGAAACAAATGTGAGCTATACAGACATTGAAACAAAGGTGAGCTACACAGACATTTAGGAAAGATTAATAAAAAGAGATAATTATTTACCCAATTATTCCAGTTCAAGGTCCTGGATGGCCGGAGCGTATCCTGGCAGCTCAGGGCACAAGGCGGGCACCAGCCCTGGATAGGACGTCATCCCATTGCAGAGCGCACTAACACGCACGCACATTCACTCACACTGGGACCTTTCAGACATGCCGATTAACATCAGGTGTGCATCTTTGGGATGGCGTCCTAGTGGGAGGAAGCCAGAGTACCCAGAGAAAATCCACGTAGACACGGGGAGAATGTGCAGGCTCCACACAGACAGTGGCCCCAGCTGGGAAGTGATTTTTTTTCCTCATCAATGTTATAATAAAACAGCGTTGAAGGAAATGATGTTGTTTGAAGACATGATATACTTTTTACCCTTCTTATTCCTTAGCTGAGGTCTTCATATGAAGTACCTGGTTTATTCTGAGCTCCTTCTTTCCTGCCTCCTGTGGACTTCTGCACAGGAACTGTAAGATAATCTGTATCATAGATAAAGAGGGGATTTTAAAAAGTATATCCTGCTTTTCAAAGCCAGCAAGAAAACCTTTTTTGGGATTATCCTCAGTTTGGGAATTTTCATAAGGCTGTAAGCTCCAGAAAGCTATTCTTGCTGGCTAGTTGGCTAAGCTTTCAGTAAAAACCCTGATTTCCACAGCAGAACTGTGCAAACTATTCTTATATGCAGTGGCCTCACAGCCTAAGGCAGTGACAGCCTCAAAAATCCTATGATGCGGAATTTTATGATCCTGTCCTTATGTGCTCTTAGTCCTTCCTTATACTGGTGAGGAGCTCCCTAATCAGTTTTCCTTCATTCTCCAACACCATGGGCTTTCTACCAGCTTTTTCACTTCTAGCCTTACTGAATAGTCTTACCACACGCACACACACACACACACACACACACACACACACACACTATGCTAAGATCTTTAGTGGTAGCAGCCATTAGGAAAGGCTTACTCATTCATTCATTTCTTTATTCAAACATTCAATTAGAGCTGTTTATGTACCAGTAACTGTGTTAAGAGTTAAGGACACATGGTAAATAAAAATAACAGCCACGCCCCCTGGGAGCTTTCTGAGTTGAGTGAAAAAGTCAGACTAAATGACATCATGATGAATACTATAAACCAAAGTATTAAAGTTCTATGAGGGCCAGGCATGGTGGCTCACACCTGTAATTCCTGCACTTTGGGAGGTGGAGGCAGTGAATCACTTGAGGTCAGTTTGAGACCAGTCTGGCCAATATGGCAAAACTCTGTCTCTACTAAAAATACAATATTCGCCAGTGTGGTGGCACAAGCCTGTATTCCTAGCTCCTCAGGAGGCTGAGGTAGGAGAATCTTGAACCCAGAGATGGAGGTTGCAATGAGCCGAGATCATGCCACTGCACTCCAGCCCGGGTGACAGAGCGAGACTGTCTCAAAAAAAAAAAAAAAACTTACCTGAGAAAGTAAAGCAGACTTATCTGAAAAAGTAATCTAATCTGTTTTCGTGCAATACCAGGGGCAGAAGTGATATTTACATTGAGACTTAAATGTCAACACGAATTTTTTGTCTAATAGTCAACACCAAGCCTATCCTTTTGTTCCCAATGCCAAATACTGAGTTAAACACTTCAGATACACAAAGTGATTTCATCTTCACAAAGGCTCAATGGCAAGGGAGCCATCCCCCCGGCTTTTTTTCTAACCTTTTGGAGATCTCCTGTATGATTTATCCCCATTTTATAAAAGAGAAAACTGAGACATGGAGAAGCAAAATTACCACTCTGAAGTTTCATAGCCAATCAGGGATTGGGACCTAATTCTGCCAGATTACAATGCCTAGTTTTTAACCACTCTAACCTGATGGAAGCCTTAATAAATACACTAACAGGTAACCCAGGCCCAGGAAGAGGGCCACCTGTGATTAGAGCTGCGCCTGACTAAACATGGTGTGAGGAAGTAGTACATGATGGCTCCTAGGCCACACTGTCTGGTCCCACCCTTCTAAAATACTGTGATTCCCTCCTATGAGAAGTACCAACTGCTTTTGTTGTTGTCATTAATTATCTGTTTCTAGAAGTTTCTACAAAAATGAGAGTTTCCAGGTTGCATCTGAAGGACCTGGGCCAACACCCATCTGATTTTATTATTTGTAAGTCCCCATTCGGGTGCAGATCTCCCGCTAGGCTTGGGGACACTGAACAGAATAAGTCACAATCCTAGCCTTCAAAGAGCTCATCTGGCAGTGAAGGAGACAGGCAAGTAAACGGATTATTTTGCAGTGAGTGAAAAAAGTAGAAGCTCGTACACGGGCCAGAAGTAGCATAGAAGAGAGGAAGCTTTTCTGGAGATGGGAATTTCTAGGCTGGGTTTTAAAGTAGAAATATGTGTTCAATGGGAACTTAAAAAGAGAGCCTTCTACTTGTAAAAGGGGTGAGGACATCAGGCAGCAGCAAGCGTTCAGTTTGCGAGAAGCAGCTTTTGTCTGATTGGAGCATATAATGAAGGGTAAATAGAGGCGTGAGATGCAGCTAAAGATATACACAGAGGCCAATCATGACTGATCTTATACCCTAGACTCAGGAGCTGTGATTTTATCTTGAAGACAATGCGTCAGGGAAAGACATGGTCCTAAGCCCTGAAAATGATACATTCTAGTTTCCTATTGGGAAAACTCTCTCTGGCATGAGTAAAGAGGGTGGGCCAGATAAAGCCAGGAAAGAGGCATGAAGAATCTTTTTTTACATTTTAGAGACAGAGTCTTGCTATGTTGCCCAATCTGGTCTCAAACTCCTGGCCTCAACTGATCCTCCTGCCTCAGCCACCTCAGCCTCTCCAGTCACTGGGATTACAGGCATGAGCCATCATACCTGCCAGGAAGGGTCTTTTTTGTATGTATGTTTGAGATGGAGTCTGGCTCTATCACCCAGGCTGGAGTGCAGTGGAACAATCTCAGCTCACTGCAGCCTCCGCCTCTTCAAGTGATTCTCTGCCTCAGCCTCCTGGGTAGCTGGGATGACAGGTATGTGTCATCATGCTCGGCTAATTTTTGTATTTTTTGTAAAGACAGGGTTTCACCATGTTGGCTAGGCTGGTCTTGAACTCCTGACCTCAAATGATCCACTGGCTTCGGCCTCCCAAAGTGCTGGATTATAGGCGTGAGCCACTACACCCACTAGGAAGGGTCTTTAAGAGTATAAATGAGAGACACAGAGGCTGGTGCTCAGGCGAGAGCAGTGCGGTTACACAGGAAGGAAGAGACAGGAAGGAACTAGCAGGAGGACTCAGTGACTGGTTGAATGTGCACTGTGAGGGGGCAGGAGGAGTCCAGAACAATTCCTAACTTTCTATACTGGACAAGTGGGTGGTGGCTGAAACCACCATCTGAAACAGGGCCTTTAGGGAAATGAAGAGGGAGTGGGAGGATGATGAGACTGGGCTTTTGAGGTGGAGGTGCCAGGAGGCAGGTATCAGCAGGCAGAGGAGAACTCCTGGGAGAGGCTAGGCTCTTCCCTGCTCCCTAGGAAATGCCTGGTAGGACGCATTCCTGGGCAGAGCAGAAGTCTGTGACACCCACGCTGGGGGCCTCTGAGATGAAAATCACCAACTGCTGAAACCAGCTGACTCCTGTGGCAAAACATGCCAGGCATCCCCAAGCTGAAGTAAGGAGTGGCTGGGAAAACCAATCACTTATTTATTCTCCAGGCTTCCTTTCTTAGCAAATAAACTACCTTTCTCCTCCAAAGCTCAAGCTCAAACCCTGAAATCTACCCTTCCTGCCTCCTTTTCCCCATTCCCATCCATCTAATTAATCTTCAACAACCGCTCCATCTCAAGCAGCCTCGATTAGTCTTGGTCCCCTTATCTTGTTGTGTCATCTTCATAGCATTTATATGATCTAAAATGATATTATATCTCTGCCTACTTGTTTACTACCTATGTTGCCTCTGGAGTGTAAGCTCCAGGTGGGCAGAGGCCTTGTCCCATTCATCTCCATATCCCTAATCCCTAGAAGAGTGCTTGGTGCATTGCCAGAGCTCAATAAACGTTACTTAAATGGAAGTTCATTTTTCAACCTTCTTCAAACTTTCTTCAGCTTTACTATTCACTCTTCACTAATACCTGACATTAATTGTCACTTTTTTCTTTTTCTCTTTCTTCTTCTTCTTCTTTTTTTTTATTTTAGAAATGGCATCTCACTATGTTGCCCAGGCTGGACTCAAACACCTGGGCTCATATGATCCTCCTGCCTTGACCTCCTGAGTAGCTGGGACTATAGGCACATGCCACCAAACCCAACTATTAAATGAAGTTCTTGATCCAACACTTCTCTGCATCTCTGCTGCTCCCACACTGATTCAAGCCCCTGTCAATTCCTGGAGTGCTCTGGGAACCTCTCAGACGTGGTGACTGACTCTGTGTGGGGTGAGAAGGATGGGAGTCTGTTAGTTTTTTCATTTCCAAGTCATAGCGCCTCTGGCATCCACTCATTCTCCACAAAGCAGCAAAATAATCCTCTAAATTCATGGACATGTCACTCCCTCCTTAAAATGTTCAGGTGGCCCTCAAGGGCCAGCAAGCTCACCTCTTTAATTCATCTGATATCATTTTACACCTATTCTCTACTCCCCACACATTGCTGCTTCTGTAACTCAAACCAAAGCTACTTTGAAGACCAGTCGCATGCCTGTAGGGCGTACTTTTCCCCAGCAATTTGCATGGGTCCCAGTTTAAATGCCAGTTCCTGAGAGAAGCCTCCCTGGGCCATCCAATCTAAAATAAAGCCCACTGCCCCCCACCCCACCCCCACCAATCTTCCACAGCCCAGGCACTCTTTAGCACATCAACCTGATTATTTCCTTCACATCACTTATTATAGCCTATTCTTGTTTATTGATTTGTTAGCTTAATTATTGTTTCTTTTTCACCTCTCTCTACCCTCAGCAGGCACTCCAGTGCCTGGTAAAGCTTAATTAGTATTTTTGAATGAAATTGTGCTTCCACTATCAGGATAGTGATGATGATCATGATGATGACAAGGATGATGATTGAGGATGCTAATATTCATGATGTTCTCCCCTAGCTTATTTGAGTTTGTAGATCTAGTAGACTGACTGGAGTATGTTCTTGACCATTTAATTAGAGACAGAATCCATTATTAAAAGCTTCATCTGGGTTTTGAAGGGTGTGTAGCGTGTGTGTATGTGTGTGTGTTTATTCATATCAGGAGACCTATAGTCATAATTAGGTACAACTCACCACCTGTCTCTGTGGATACCTCCTCAGTAAAGGCAAAATGAAGACGTGTCAGGTCTCCTCTATCATTTTACTTGATGGGCTGAATTTATTGTATTTTGTAGACAACAGATCTTGAGATAAGAAGACAGTCTCTTGGACCCTTTAGATGCTTTTACCAGATCTGGCACTCACTCTGCTGGGAATAGATTTTGAGGACATGCTAGAAAAAAAAGAAAATGCAATTAACCAGATGGCACTGGGAGGAGGGACTGGGGCTGAGAGCCAATGGGGGCTGCAGAAGAAAGACTAGTCACAAACTGAAACAGGATGACCTGTCAATTTCAATCACACTGGTGAAAACTTTAGGAAAAACATGGCTGAACGTATTACACATTGATACTGAAAAGGGAAAAGGTCCTCAGTGAAACGAAAAAGTAGAGATGAAAGAAATCTCGAACAGTCATCTCATTTTGTAGATGGATAATTTAAAGCCCAGAGAGAAAAAGGACTTTTCCAGGGTCACACAGCAATTCTACAGCTGATTGGAGATGGGAATTCTCACTATTCAAAGTTGAGTGATTTTTCTGGCATGCCAGACCAAAGAGTAGTCTCATATTTGAACAAACAGCGAATAGATGATTAACTCTAGTAATATCACAGGTGTGTAACCTAACTTTTAAGCTAAATCATACGTGTATACACTCATCTCTGTGGCCACAGAAACTAACAAGAGCTTATGCCCAAAACTTACCCAAATTTTTATGGCTTCTAAGTTCTAGCTCTTCTTTCTCTCAGACCATGGCCAGCCTATCACAAAGCATATGTATCACTTCCCCTTTGACTTCCAAGCTGCTACTGTCAAAGAGAAGCCAGAAACAATCAAAAGATATATGTTGGCAGAGAACTTAGTGTGCCCGCAAGACTTATAGAACCAGCAATAAAATCATATTATATAGTGAACATTCTTTGAAGCCATGTCAGATCAGAAATCATGACTCTCATCCAATAAAGTTGTGGAAAACAGGACCATTCTAGAATATCTAAGGTTCTGTGTGGGATAGAGTAATAACAGGAAATAAAAGAGGAAGAGCAGGTTAAGTCTACCATTCAGGATTCTGACTTGCCATGTCACATTTCTGGTAGCTCAGAAGGATATTTCTATAAAAAAATATAAAGGCCAGGTAAGATGGTTTATGCCTATAACCCCAACACTTTGGGAGGTCAAGGCAGGAGGAATACTTGAAGCCAAGAGTTTGAGACCAACCTGGGCAACAGAGTGAGAACCAAAAAAATTTTTAAAATACAAAATTTTTAAAAATAAAATTTTTAAAATACAAAAAATTTTAAAATAAGAAAATTAACTGGGTGTTGTGGTGCATGCCTATGGTCCCAGCTACTCAGGAAACTGAGAGGCAGGAGGATGCCTTGAGCCCAGGAGTTGGAGACTGCAGTGAGCTATGATCATGCCACTACATTTCAGCTTGGGTGACAGGGTGAGACCTCGCCTCTTAAAAAAAAAAATTCTATACAACAAACATAAAATCTGGAATCAAAATAGTAAATCAAACATAAAATCTGGAATCAAAATCTGTTCTGATCAGTGCCATGTGGGTCCTTATCTTTTACTTAATAAGACCTATGATCTGATCCCAAATCATGACCTTAGGCAAAATGTCTAAATACATGAGATTTCTTCCTTTTTATTTATTTATTTATTTATTTTAAAATGGGGTTTCACCATATTGGTCAGGCTGGTCTCGAACTCCTGACCTCAGGTGATCCGCCCACCTCAGCCTCCCAAGCGTGAGCCACCATGCCCAGTAAGCTTTCTTCCTTTACTTTACAATAAGAATAACAATCCAAGGCCGAGGTGGGCAGATCACTGGGGGTCAGGAGTTCGAGACCAGCCTGGCCAACATGGCAAGAACCCGTCCCTACTAAAAATACAAAAATCAGCCAGGCATGGTGGCACACACCTGTATCCCAGCTACTTGGGAGGCTGAGGCAGGAGAATCACTTGAACCGAGGAGGCAGAGGTTGCATTGAGCCAGGATCATGCCACTGCACTCCAGCCTGGGCTACAGAGCGAGACTCCATCTCAAGAAAAAAAAAAAAAGAATAAGAATCCAAATAATGAACATAATCAGGCCAGGCATGGTGGCTCACGCCTGTAATCCCAGCACTTTGGGAGGCTGAGGTGGGTGGATCACAAGGTCAGGAGTTTGAAACCAGCCTGGCCAACATGGTAAAACCCTGTCTCTACTGAAAATACAACAATTAGCTGGGCGTAGTAACGTGCACCTGTAGTCCTAGTTACTCGGGAGGCTGAGGCAGGAGAATCGCTTGAACGGGAGCAGGGGTTGCAGTGAGCTGAGATCACTCCACTGCACTCTAGCTTGGACGACAGAGTGAGACTCTGTCTCAAAAAAAAAAAAAGTAAAAGAATAAAATAATGGCTACTCCATATGCAGAGCAGCAGCACGGACTGTTCAGCTACTTATACTTATTGTTACTTCTTGATTATATGTTAAACAAGGGGTGGATTATTCATGAGTTCTCCAGGAAAGGGGTGGACAATTCCCAGAACTGAGGGTTCCTCCCCTTTTTAGACCATATAGGGTACCATATATGGCAACTTCCTGCTGTTGCGATGGCATTTATAAACTGTCATGGCGCCAGTGGGAGTGTCTTTTAGCATATTAATGCATTACAATTAGCATATAATCAGCGGTGAGGACGACCAGAGATCCCTTTCAGTGCCATCTTGGTTTTGGTGGGATTAGGCCAGCTTCTTTGTTGCATGCTGTTTTATCAACAAGGTCTTTGTGACCTGTATCTTGTGTCAACCTCCTATCTCATCCGGTGACTAAGAATGCCTTAACTTCCCGGGAATGCAGCCCAGTAGGTCTCAGCCTTATTTTAACCAGTCCCTATTCAAGATGAAATCGCTGTGGTTCAAACGCCTCTGACACAGTTGCTATTCACAAACTCTATCACATACAGCCTCAAACTCCTGGGTCTCCCCCCCTTAGTTTCCCAAGTAGCTGGGACTGCAAACACATGCCACTGCACCCAGAAAGTTTTTTTAGTTTTTTAATCATGTAATTTCAAAAAGTAGTCAGGAGGGGCTGGGCGCAGTGGCTCAAGCCTGTAATCCCAGCACTTTGGGAGGCCGAGGCGGGTGGATCACGAGGTCAACAGATCGAGACCAACCTGGTCAACATGGTGAAACCCCGGCTCTACTAAAAATTACAAAAAATTAGCTGGGCACGGTGGCGCGTGCCTGTAATCCCAGCTACTCAGGAGGCTGAGGCAGGAGAATTGCCTGAACCCAGGAGGCGGAGGTTGCGGTGAGCCGAGATCACGCCATTGCACTCCAGCCTGGGTAACAAGAGTGAAACTCGGTCTCAAAAAAAAAAAAAAAAAAAAAAAAAGTAGTCGGGAGGATTAAATTTTGTAAAGTAAAGCACCTTGCAAAGTGTCAGTTCTTAGTATGTACTCAGTAAATGGTAGTTTGTGTCTTCTGTCCTTCACATCACTTGGCTTATCATCTGCAAGAAGGGACAGGAAGGCTCTTTGACTAATGGGCTTCTTTGACTGGAATGCCCAGTCCTCCATTGCCAACCCTCATTCCATCTGCTGTAAAACCACTGAATTCCTGGCCATTTAACTGGGCAATAAAAGTGAAGGCCAAAAGAAGATACCCAATGCCATCATCCCCCGTTCCAGCTGGAGAACTAATATTCTATGAGGCATGGGGAAAGGGTGTCCTGGCTTTATCGTGAGAACTGGAGCATCTAAATTTTCTTCTCTGGGAGTCAGTTTTCACTTTAGAACCAGGGAGCTGGGCTGGAGGACCCCGAGGGGAATATGAATTGAGGGGAATATGGATGGGTGACAAAAGGAATGCTCAGCAAGAGATTTAACTCCTTGGATCCTTCCCCATCTTCAAAATGAAGGACAATAAAATCTCTAGTTGCACGTGGTTCACAAGGCCCCTGAATTGAAGCAAATCACAGAAAGTGCTTAGCAGAGTCTCATGGACATAAAGCATTCAATTGATGTTACCTCTCTTCCTGCTATTGTCATCATTCCGACCCTAACATTGAACCTGTCTCTAACTGAGCAAGAGAATTCCTTTGTGAATGACTTTAATTCACCAATGTACTCAAGGGTCTATCTAAAGCATGGCTCTAGAGCCCTGAATCTAGCGCTTTCCATGACCTGACCACCAGCTTTCCTGGCTAAAAAGAAGTCCGAGAACGGCCAAACAGCCATGACAGCCCCCACGAAGAGCTCATTCCGTCTTCTCTTTCCGCGACCTGACGAGGTCTGAGCCGGACTTCCCCCGCCCGCCCATCTCAGCCACCATTGGTCGCCTTCTCGCTGGCGTGACTAAGACCCGGCCCTCTTCTCGCTGGGACCACTCTGAGGCGATCTCCGGAAGCGGAGGGGCCCCGGAGTAGAGGCAGCGATGCATCCTGGGCTTTGTAGTCCATATTCACAACTACAGCCGGAGAGCGGGGCCTCACAACCCGGAGAACTACAATCCCCAGCAGCCCGGCGGAAGGGGAGCGAGGGGGGCTCGTGTCACGTGGGCGTTCGGCCTGGGCGGGCTATTTCTCAGTACGGCGGCGGCGGTGGCGGCGGCGGTGGCGGCTCCCGGGACCGGGGCCTTTTGTTTGGAGCGGCTGCGGGGAGGCCCCGGAGCGGCGAGGCCGGCGGCCTTCCCCAGCTCGCTGGGTCCCGGCTGCCCCTCGCGGGGGTGGGGGGCCGCCCCCTGGGCCGGGCATCGCCTCAGGCGCCGCCGCCCCGCCCTAGGTCCGCCCCGCCCGGCCTGAGGGGAGGAACCGGGCCTCGCCGCGCGGCCCAGCCACCGTCGGAGTCGCAGCCTCTGCTTTCAGTCCTTCCGACCCGAGGCTGTCCCTTGCCCCTCGGGCCGACGCCATGAAGATCAAAGATGCCAAGAAACCCTGTAAGATGGGGGCCGGGGCCCGCCGGGTTGGGAGGTTACCCTTGGGTCCCGTCTGAAAGCCCCTTTACTGGGCGGCCTGCTTCCAAGCCTGTAGATCCTCGCCGGCGCTTAATCCGGAATGGGGGCGGAGGGACCATTTCAGCCCGAGTTCGAGGCTTCCGTCCTTCCCATCCCCCTATTCATGCATGGTGAATGCCTGCCGCCCCCTAAGCCCTTTCCTCCCACTTCCTCTTCGAGATCTGGGAGGTGCCAGAGGGAATTTCTGATTAAGATTTTGTCAAACTAAACTAGGGCTACCAGTCTCCTCTCCCTGCTCTCCCGGAATTCATGTTGAAAAGAGGCGGTCGCGGCTGTCAGGTTGCGCCCGGGGCTCTTAGCACCTGTTTTTACGGATTTCTGGGCTTCCTGCTTGTGTTCTTGAAATGCCGGTGGGTTCCTGGGAGTTGTCACTGTTGTTACAGTTAGAGCTTTGAAACGTATGTGCATGCAACCTGCCAGTGTGTAATTGCCTTGGGTTATTTTTGTTTAGAATATCAACTAGTTCATGTTTGTTTTAGAAAACGCAGATAAACAAAAAAGAAGATAAAATCAACCGTATTCCCGGCACCCGGAGCGAACCACTATTAATATTATGGTGAATACTAGCAGAGATTTTTCTATGACTGTATATGCATGTACTTAAAATTCTTACTATGCTTTTAGAAAGCAGGTCTACTTTCATTTGCTTCCTTTTATGTTTATTCTCTTAAAAAGCTTCTATTCCAGGAATTGACTTATTTAATCACTCAGCGATTGTGATTGTCATACTTTAAAGTATAGCCTCCCAGAAGGACTAGGCATGTGGGGATTCATGCTCATATCGTAAAGTCATCTTGATACTTTGGCAGTTGTTACAGTGATCTCTTAACTGTTAAGAAATCCTCAACTATAAAACAGGGCGCTGACACCTTCCCTGCCTGCCCATCGGGGTTCCTGTAAATCTCACCTGAGAGGCAACAAGCCAGAACCCTCTGAAAAGTACACATTCCTATTTAAATGTAAGGTAATTTGGTCTTAAACTTTACAGGTGAGGAAATTGAACTTACTGAGCCCCAGAGTAACTTTTCCAAGGATATAGCAACCATGTGCTGTGACGTTCATAAGTCTAAGTGGACTGATTCATAATACAGTTTTCTTTCTCCTGCACCCATGGGGCATTGTCTAAGTACTTTATCTGGTAGTCTCATCTGTTAACATTTTTTTAAAGAATTGGTTATGATAACTTAATTTTGTCATAGCTGTTAGAGTCTTTAGTTGATTTGAAGGCTTAAATGAAAAGTAATATAGAGAGCCTTTGAATTTACGTTTGCTGAATTAAACTAATGCATCTTAAACAGGTGCAGTAATTAGAACACTTGGACATCTTCCCTCACACATAGGTTTTCTCTGCTTGTCTTAGAATTTCCATTTGATGAACAGTGTATGATCAACTCAAATTTTGACTCTTCTGGTGGTGATTATTTTCTTTTGTCATGATAGTGATTTGATTACTTAGATTTGAACATACTAATTATCAGGTACGAGTACCACCTCCTTCAAAGGTGTGTTAGAAAAGATTATAAAGATTATTATGAGAAGTTTATAAAATAGGGCCAGGCACAGTGGCTCACACCTGAAATCCCAGCACTTTGGGAGACCGAGGCAGGAGGCTCGCTGGAGGCCAGGAGTTTGATACCAACTTGGGCACCGACCATATCGAGACATCATCTCTACCAAAAATAAAAAATAAAAGATTAGCCGGGCATAGTGGCACACCACTGCAGTCCAGCTAAAGTCTTAAAAATACACATTAGGTCGAGAAATAAAAGAATACTCCTTCCCCGCCCCCCAATAAGTTATTAGTACAATGTGGTACGTTGTGAGACCATTAATCGTAAAATGGAATCATGCTGAAAATCTGGTCAGTTACTATGATATAGAAGCTTAACATAACATTTCCCAGTTTTTTATATGTAAAAGTAACTTTATTGTTTGTAGTAAAGAACATCACGTTTTGTGTGTGGGAAAGAAAGTATTTCAACCATGAACTGTCCTGGATAATGAAAAATAAATAGGCCGGGTGCAGTGGCTCACACCTGTAATCCCAGCACTTTGAGAGGCCTAGGCAGGTGGTTCACGAGATCAGGAGTTCGATACCAGCCTGACCAACATGGTGAAACCTCATCTCTACTAAAAATACAAAAATTAGCCTGGGAGTGGTGTCCTAGCTACCTAGGAGGCTGAGGCAGGAGAATTGCTGGAACTCAGGAGGCAGAGACTGCAATGAACTGAGATGGCGCCACTGCACTCTAGCCTGGGCAACAAAGTGAGACTCCGTCTCAAAAAAAAAACCAAAAAACCAATAATAATAATATTCTTTTAACTTTTAAATCACTCAGGTTAATGAAAGATATATTTGTTTTGTTTTTGAATACCTGTATGGGATTTTTTTGGCATAATTATAACGCTTATTGATTACTTAGTATGTGTTTGGAATTTTCTTTATATGCATTGCATCATTTAACTGCATACTAGAAGAAGCTGTATGTAATATTGGCTAAACAAGTGACCCTGGCTTCCCATGTATCCTTACATTATTCACCTAAGTGTTAGAAAATATTGCTTCTAGATACATTACCAGTGTCTTTACAGGTTATAAACCAAATGCATATGTTAACCAGAAAATTTAAAAATTCTCTAAATTGTATAACTGGAAGATTAGCATTTGAAATTATGTGTTAATTCAACCCCAGGGGAAGGACGGAAAAAGTCAATCCTGTGTTACTGTCTTCCCTGCCTGACATGATTTCTCAGGGTGCAGGTTTTTAAGCTTATGTTTGGGTTACCTATGTAGCATGTAACTGGATTAAGAAGGTGATAGTAAAAGGTGATATATATATCTCAGGCCGGGCGTGGTGGCTCATGCCTGTAATCCCAGCACTTTGGGAGGCCAAGGCAGGTGGATCACTTGAGGTCGGGAGTTCGAAACCCAACATGTCCAACATGGCGAAACCCTGTCTTTATTTAAAAAAAAAAGAAGAATTAACAAAAAATACATATATTTCAGTGTGATGTGGTATAGGTTTTCAGTTTGTGCTTTATTGACCTGATGAGTAAGGTACTTGAAGTTTTTAAGACCAGAGAAAACGGTATAGTATATATGTGTAGTTTGCTTCTGTGTAATTTGATTGGCCTGTTTGTAAATTCAGTTATTGCAGAAGAATTATCACTTCCATTAGATAGTTGGGATAGTAGTTTCTAATATAGCTCCCCTTAGAAATAATTTACTAAAGAAAAAACAGGGGAAGCTGTCCTAAGGAATCATAATACTGAAGGTGTGAAGATGATTATTTTCTTAGTCTATTTCAGAACAAAAACCATTTTTGTTTGGAATGATTATTGAGAATAATGAAATTTAATATCCAGGAAGTTGAAACGTATCTAGAATATAACAGTGTACATGCTCACTTTAGAATTTTGTTCTTTAAAATACCCTATGTTTCAAGCATTTTTCACATTGGTTTCCCTCTGTGTCTGAAGAACAATTAAGTCCTAATTTGGTTTAGTATCTCCCCCCACCATCTGTGGTTTTTTTTCTTTCTTTTGAAATGAGGTCTCACTTTGTTACCCAGGCTGGAGTGCAGTGGCATCATCTCAGCTCACTGCACCCTTGGCCTCCCAGGCTCAAGCAATCCTTTCCACTCAGCCTCCCCAGTAGCTGGAACTACAGGCACTCGCTACCATGCCCAGCTAATTTTTTTGTGTTTTTGGTAGAGATGGGGTTTTGCCATGTTGCCCTTGCCAGGCTGGTCTTGAACTCCTGAGCTCAAGCGATCCTCCTGCCTCATAGAGTGCTGGGATTAGAGGCATGAGCCATGTTCCTGGCCAGGATCCCTTTAGGCTGAAATCTGCATGGGACCAGTAGTGATTAAATAGCTCTTTTTTTTAGAGATTGTTCTCTGCTTCCTTAGCAGCACTTAGTAAGGTACAAAGTTTATCCCACATTGTTAGAAATTAACAGTCTGCTCTTGTGGCTAGATAGCATCTGATATTTAGTATTTTAAAAGGTGATTGGATAAGATTTCTTCTTTCGCATATATAATGCGTCTAGTAAGAAATAGCACTTCATTCTTGTAGTAGTTCGAGATATTTTTGCTACATATGGGGACTAATGTCAACCTTTATAAGACCACTTGAGACATAGAATAAGAGATATTACTTTGTTAAAGGCAGAATGAACAGATCTTGAGAGATTCTAAGAATTCTCACGGTCTGGGACTATATATTGGCCATCATCAAAGTGCTTACATTTGTGTAATGTGTGCTTTGTTTTGCTCTTTAAATATATATTTTGATTCTTTTTTTTCACCTTGGCAAGGAATGTTTTATTCGAAAAAAAAAGAAATAAGGAATGTTTGAGTTATATGCCGTAAGTAGGCTGCTTATGCACTGGTGATCTACTTTTCAAGGGTCTTTGCCAGAAGCAACAAAGCTATAAATACGTAGATTCTTGCTTGATTTCTTAGGAAACTGGTATTTTTCTCTTTTTTCCTTTTTTGAAATGGAGTCTCACTATTGTTGCCCAGGCTGGAGTGCAGTGATGTGATCTCAGCTCACGGCAGCCTCCGCCTCCCAGGTTCAAGCAATTTTCCTGCCTCAGCCTCTTGAGTAGCTGGGATTACAGACACATGCCAGCATGCCGGGCTAATTTTTGTATTTTTGGTAGAGACGGGATTTCACCATGTTGGCCAGGCTGACCTCAGGTGATCCACCCAACTCGGCCTCCCATAGTGCTGGGATTACAGATGTGAGCCACCGTGCCCGGCCAGGAAACTGGTATTTTTCTTACTTCATAGAACTATTAGGTGGACCTGTGGTTGTACTTAATATATGTGTATTTACTCATATTTTCATTGCAAATAAGCAAAGTTTGCGCTTCATGCCCTCTTCTTATTTTGGTGACAATATGTCAATCATAAGTAATTTTGTGGATACACTGGAAAATATATGTTGGTAATTAGACCACTTTTTTTTTTTTTAACCTTTCACCCCACCCCCAGACCACTTATTAAATGATAGGAGTGTGTCATAATTGAGAAATTGTGTCTCTTCTGTTTGTCCTGTCTTTGTGCTTTTTCTTTTTTTGGCCTTGCTGAGGTTCTGTATCTCGTGCTTTTTAATAGTGATTATTTTTCTGGCATAAGGAAATTAATTCCTGAACTCTGTTGAATTGAGAGGATCTCAGTTTAAAAGGTGGCCATTACCAGCCACCGACTTTTCTTTCTTTTTTTCTTAATTGGAGTTACAGCAGGGCTGAGTTAAAGAGAACTCAGCCTACTTTGTTGATTTTAAGGAGAAAATTGTCATAATTTATATGTGCAATATATAATAGAAGGAGCGTGCAATTTTCTGGTTTGCACGTTATGGTTACTAAGAAGTCATCATCTGCAGGATAACTTCTCTAGTTAACCTTTCTTTCTTTCTTTCTTTTTTTAAGACAGGGTTTCACCATGTTCAGTCTTGAACTCCTAACCTCAGGTGATCCACCCACCTTAGCCTCCAAGGTGCTTGGATTTCAGGCGTGAGCCACCATGCCCGGCCAACCTTTCTTTAAAACAGCATTCAAGGAACACATTTCTAGTAGACTAGATGTGAAATGAGTCTTGGGCATTTTGCATTGTTGATTTTTTTTTTAAAAATCTACCTCTTTGGGCAATAACTTAAGAAAATAGTATTGTTTTTCCAATTTAATTTACAGTATTTTATAAAACATTGTGTTTCTCTAGTCTAATACACTAATAAGTGGGTTACAGCTTTGAAATTTAATAATAATTTTGTTTCATGAGTTCATATTTATGCCTTATGTACACAATTTATAAAATTCTGAAGTATCTAATATAGTTTTAAAACACATGAGAGATTCAATATATGTAATACGGCTTTGTTTAGGAATTTTACTTAGAGAAAGAGAGAGAGAGAGTGTGTGTGTGTGTGTGTGTGTGTGTGTGTAAAAAATACAGATTCATTATCCCTTATCTGAAATGCCTGAGACCAGAAGTATTTAGTGTTTCAGATTTCAGTTTCATTTGGAATCTTTGAATTCAAATTTTCATTTAGAATATTTGCCTTATATATGTTTGCTTACAGGTTGAGCATCCCTAATCTGAAATTTTAAATGCTCTATTGAGCATTTCCTTGGAAGCCTCATGTTAATGCTCACAAGGTTTCAGATTTTTTATTTCAGAATTTGGATTAAGGATACTCAACTTTTAGTGTATTTTGTCACCTTTTATATGTTTGTCTTTAATGCTTCGCTACATGCGTTACTAAGTGGCCCAAGTATGTGTTTTGTAATTGATTGTTGATATACCTTTGGAATCAGAATCTTTGGTACTCCTTTGTAGATTTAGAAAAGTAGATAATTTATTTCTCCAATGTTTAGTCTATAAAGTTGAACTCTTTTCCTGGACATTAAAGTTCCTTTGAGACTTAATTAATGGTTTTGTGTAAGGATGAATAGTTCTTTGTGTATGTGTTAATTGGGATTTTTGCTTTCAAGAATGACAGTATCCAGATATTTATAAACCTGGGAGCAGAGACTTTTGGCTGAAAATAAAAATGGCATGAACTCTAAACCTGGTAATGTATTAGCTTTGTAGTTTGCTCCCTGAGTGGCATTTTTATATTTGTGTGCCTATTTGAATATCTATGTTTGTTTGACACAAGGCACAGAAAGAAAACCTGCAAATATTTTTTTTAAATATATTTTGAATTTTGGAAAATAAAGGTTTCTAGCTTAATCTAACCTCGTAGAAATTTTTCTGTCTCAGAATGTACTTGATGTAGAAATAATGATTTCCACCCCTCCCCCCCCACAGAATTTTCTAGAGTCAACCGTCAGTCAAGTAGGAGAATTCATTTTGGTTATTTAATATCAGAAGGATGCCTTTGTTTTATCTAATGCCCATTGAAAAGTGTCCTAATAACATGTTTCAACAGATTGGGACATTCCTTTTTTTTTAGACAGAGCCTTGCTCTGTCTCCCAAGCTAGAGTGCAGTGGCACAATCTCAGCTCACTGCAACCTCCGCCTCCTGGTTTCAGGCGATTCTCCTGCCTCAGACTACCAAGTAGCTGGAATTACAGGTGTGCACCACCAACCCAGCTAATTTCTGTATTTTTAGTAGAGATGGGGTTTCACCATGTTGGCCAGGCTGGTCTCAGAACTCCTGACCTCAAGTGGTCTACCCGCCTCTGCCTCTCCAAGTGTTATGATTGCAGACGTGTGCCCCTGTGGCCCCTGTGCCAGCCAGATTGGGACATTTCTGAAGGAATTTCTGGTTTGTGGGATAAAGAGATCTGTTCCTGTTGTTTTGTTTGTGTTTGTCCAAGCAAACACCTGGTACGAGCTTATCCTCTTTTAATATTGCTGCTACCATTCTCTTCAAGCGCAGGTTACTTAAAGATGGCCTTTGTTGGCTGAGCGCAGTGGCTCATGCCTGTAATCCCAGCACTTTGGGAGGCCAAGGAGGGTGGATCAGGAGGTCAGGAGATCAAGACCATCCTGGACAACATGGTGAAATCCCGTCTCTACTAAATATATAAAAATTAGCTGGGCGTGACAATGTGCACCTGTAGTCCCAGCTGCTCTGGAGGCTGAAGTAGTAGAATTATTTGAACCTGGGAGGCGGAGGCTGCAGTGACCCAAGATCTTGCTGCAGCACTCCAGCCTGGGCCAGCGACAGAGCGAGACTCCGTCTCAAAAAGAAAAAGATGGCCTTTGTTGCTAGTCACTTGACAAAACTGAGAAAATTTAGTCAGTTTCTTCTGCTTATGTTGCTTATTTATACTTGTCTGTAGGTGATATGAAAGTATTGCATTTGGCTCTAAGCTGCCCCCTGGCTTCCCCAATTATGGTTCAAAGTCATTTTGCTTTTTTAAAAAACTTTTTTTTCCCATACTGGGAAGAACTGTCCCAGAATACAGAATACTATTTCTTTCTTAAGATTATCTGTAATATAGCTCCAGATCTGTAATTTGAGTTTCAAATATAAAGACAAATGAGCTTTTTCTCCAAAAGAAGATAATGAGGATTACTCCTTCCTCAGATTCAAAATTATATGCTACTTTCAGTAAATGTGTGAATTCTTAAGTGGAGAAATGTATAGAATCCTTTCTCATTCAATTCTATGTTCCTGGTTTTCTAATGGCACACACATACCAATTAAGTTAAATGAGTAAGAAAGAATTTTAGAATTAATTTTTATCTACAACTTTTACATAAAATCTGTTAAATGTATTTTGTTGCCAGACATTTTAATCCATGTATCTTGTGTATTAAACTCTTTTTGAGTCTCTCATAGTAGTTAAGATCCCAGAGAATAGAAATATATATTTTTTTGGCCGGGTGCGGTGGCTCACGCCTATAATCCCAGCATTTTGTGAGGCCGAGGCGGGTGGATCACGAGGTCAAGAGATCAAGACCATCCTGGTCAACAAGGTGAAACCCTGTCTCTACTAAAAATACAAAAATTAGCTGGGCATAATGGTGCGCGCCTGTAGTCCCAGCTACTCGGGAGGCTGAGGCAGGAGAATTGCGTGAACCCAGGAGGCGGAGGTTGTGGTGAGCCGAGATCGCACCATTGCACTCCACTCTGGGTAACAACAACGAAACTCCGTCTCAAAAAAAAAAAAGAAAAGAATATATATTTTTAGGATGGAATCTTGTTACTGGCACCTAACAGTTTGACCTTAGGCAAGTTTGTAATTGATTTGCCTCCTCCTCTAAGTGGTACACTTAATGGAGCAGTCTTATAGTGGGGGTATTGAGGATTAAATGAGCCTCTATGTGGTTATCATATTTCTGGCAGATAGTGCACACTCAGTAAATGTTAGCTGTAATTCTATAGAGAACTGAATGAATCAGTTGTGCTTTAATTATAAAAATTTGAATTTTGTGATTCATGCTAGATTGAGCATTCCTTGAGGGCAGGTATTTTATCTTCCTTATTTGCATTCCCATTTCCTGGTGTAAAGGAGATAATGATTACTTATTGAAGGGAATTGCTTTTTGGGTTTGTTTGTTTTTTATGACAGGATCTCACTCTGTTACCTAATCTGCAGTGTTCAGACATGGCTCACTGCAGCCTCAACCTCCTGGACTAAAATGATCCTCCTGCCTCAGCCTCCCATAACTAGGACAACAGGTGCATGCTGCCACGCCCAGCTAATTTTTAAATTTTTAGTAAATGGGATCTTGTTATGTTGCCAAGGCTGGTTTCAAACTCCTGTCCTCAAGCAGTACTCCCACCTCAGCCTCCCATAGTGCTGGGATTTCAGGTGTGAGCACTGTGCCCAGCAGGAATTGGTTTTTAAGGAGGCACTTTTCTCCTGGGTTACTTGAAGTGATTACAGACCAATTTTATTGTATTAAATGTTTATAGAAACAAAGATTTTCAGGCTCTTGGTGATGACCTATTTATTGAAGAAAAAAAGATCTGAATTTTTTTCTCATTTGGCAAGCACATGGTAAATATTTAGTAAATGAAAAGTAGTGCCTACAAGGCCAGGAATTAAAAGGTCCTGGGTCAACTCTAAGCACTCTATATGTTTTTTAGAAAATATATTAATAAGACTTTGAAGGGAAAAAGGTGAGTTCCACAGAACATGTGTCCTACCCAATACATATTATTGCCTGAATGCATGATGCAAAGTAAATGAAGTTTGTGGCTAATTAACCATTTTGTAGTTTGTGTTTCTAAGATGTATGTATGTATATATATATATAATGTGTGTGTGTGTGTATGTGTGTGTGTGTGTGTGTGTGTATATGTATATATATTTTTTTTCTTTCTCCCATAGCTTTCCCCTGGTTTGGCATGGACATTGGGGGAACTCTAGTAAAGCTCTCATACTTTGAACCTATTGATATCACAGCAGAGGAAGAACAAGAAGAAGTTGAGAGTTTAAAAAGTATTCGGAAATATCTGACTTCTAATGTAGCATATGGATCCACTGGCATTCGGGATGTACATCTTGAACTGAAAGATTTAACACTTTTTGGCCGGAGAGGGAACTTGCACTTTATCAGGTTTCCAACCCAGGACCTGCCTACTTTTATCCAAATGGGAAGAGATAAAAACTTCTCAACCTTGCAAACGGTGCTATGTGCTACAGGAGGTGGTGCTTACAAGTTTGAAAAAGATTTTCGCACAGTACGTATCATTTACTCAAAACTGAAAATTAATACCTGTTAGTTTTTAAATATGAGGGTAGGTTTCCATCTAGCATGTTCCTTAATTCTCCCTGCACATGCAGCGGAAATAGGTATTCATGATTTCCTTTCACTTGGGGCATTTTAAACACATTTATGGGATGACTAAACATTACCCAGATTTGGGCATGTTGTTGCAAATAATATTTGGTAAAACTTGTTTAGGGCTATACTACTACAAAGCTGCAGTAAAAAGGGGACTTGGGGACATTCATGTATTTGGCATTGTACAAAGCCAGATACAAAGGAAGTTTGCATTATTCTCACTATCGTCCTACATTTACATGGTTTTTGGAATATTATTCAAAAACATTAATCTTCCAGGGCCGTCTCCTTCCCAAACCCTAAGTTTGGAAACCAGTGTCTTCTGTTTAGTATAATAGACACCTGAATGAAAATCTGTTACCCTTTCTGTTTTTACACTGTCAATCCGTCCATGTTTCTGTGTCAAATGGGGTGATTTGAATGGATATGGCAGGAGAACTATGAGTATTGTTTTGAGTCATGCGCTGTTAGCACTTTGCCATCCTCTAGGCTTTTCCATTAGAATGAGAGTTCAAAGAGTGGTTTGCCAAGCATCTAGTCTTTTCCAGTAGAATAAAGAGTGGCCTTGTTTAGGGCCAGTGAAATTTGTTTTTCCTGAAAATGTAAATGTCAATAATTTAATTTCTCAAAATCATAAGAAAATACTGTTAATGGAATGTAAAGGCCGATGTGAGAGGATCACTTGAGGCTAGGAGTTTGAGACCAGTCTTGGCAACATAGTGGGACCTGGTCTCTACAAAAAAAATTTAAAAATTAGCTCTGCATCATGGCCTGTCCCAGCCACTTGGGAGGCTGAGATGGGAGGATTGCTTGAGCCCAGGAGATTGAGGTTGCAGTGAGCTGTGATTCAGCCATTGTGCTCCAGCCTGGGTGACAGTGAGGTCCTATCTCAAAAGAAATATGAGTAACTTAAATGGCTTATAGAAGTGAGACCCTTGTAATTTGCAGTAAAGATCTATAAATACTGTATGAAAAGAGGTGCCATGGGAAGACAGAGGAGTAATACCTAACAACTCCTAGAGAGTTGAAGAGGTTCCTAGAGGCAGTGATGTCTAAGCTGCAATATATTATAATAATACACTTTTTACTAACCTGAAATAATGAATTTAATAATTTCAAACTATATTATAAAGACAGGAGATTAAGGTATCATTGATCATTCAGAAATTAATCAATCAGTGGGTAGATTAACAAGCAGTATGATCATTCCAGAGAACATCATGAAGCAGTTATATGCTTGTACCTATGCATAGATTCATAATGAATACCAAAGCCCCAAATGCCAGATTGATACGGTATGTTCTAATCAGATACCATAAATGGCATTGCTGTTGGTGACATGACCCTCCAACATGCTAAACAAACACTTGGTAAAATTCCAAACAGTAGGAAGTACAATATTCACATGCATTATGTGGTGATTTAGTTCCTAGCAAATTTAGTATGTGTTTAAAACTATGTGGGTTGGGCACAGTGGCTCACACCTGTAATCCTAGCACTTCTGGAGGCCAAGGTGGGTGGATCATTTGAAGTCAGGAGCTGGAGATCAGCCTGGTCAATATGGTGAAACCTCATCTCTACTAAAAATGCAAAAATTAGCCAGGCACGGTGGCAGTAATCCCAGCTACTCAGAAGACTGAGGCAGGAGAATCACTTGAACCCGGGAGGTGGAGGTTGCAGTGAGCTGAGATCATGCCATTGTACTCCAGCCTGGGTGACAGACTTCGTCTGAAAAATAAAGAAATTAATTAAACCATGGGATGAATACTTTTGTATTTATATACACAGACATATAGGTAAAATAACTTTGTCCCTCTCTAGGCTCAGATAATTATAAATAATTTTCCTGCTGCCACTATAAAAATGACTGACAGAACACTAAAAAATAATGCATAGTTGAGATAATTCTTTGGTTTACGGAAATGTTCACCTATTAAAGATATCTGGTGTCCCAAGTCCCTGCCCACTAGATGTCAGTTTGGTCCTTTTTTTCTCCCCATCATTTAGAAAGCTAGTAGTGAGGTGGTTTCACCCTCACTGAGGACCAGTGGGATAGATTAAATCCCTAAGAGATTTTGACATGAAATAAAATGAAAATGTGGGGATCATAGATTATTTTTAGATTTTGTGACGTAGTATAGGAAAATTATATAGTTGAGTTGTTTTTGAATGACATCTTTTTTTTTTTTTTTTTTTTTAAACAGATTGGAAACCTCCACCTGCACAAACTGGATGAACTTGACTGCCTTGTAAAGGGCTTGCTGTATATAGACTCTGTCAGTTTCAATGGACAAGCAGAGTGCTATTATTTTGCTAATGCCTCAGAGCCTGAGCGATGCCAAAAGATGCCTTTTAACCTGGATGATCCCTATCCACTGCTTGTAGTGAACATTGGCTCAGGAGTCAGTATTTTAGCAGTCCATTCCAAAGACAACTATAAACGAGTGACTGGGACGAGGTAGTGACATTTTTGGTCATATTGCTGCATTCACATTGTTTTATACACGTTATAAAATCGGTGTAATATTGCTGTTTTCACCAGGAAAAGAACATGTATTTGCACAACAGCGTTGTTCTTTTCTTTCTTTCTTTCTTTCTTTTTTTTTTTTTAGTAAAAGAGGGTGCCATATTGCCCAGGCTAGTCTTGAAGTCCTGAGTTCAAGCAACCTGCCTATCTCAACCTACCAAAGTGCTGGGGTTACAGGCATCAGCCACCGTCCTGGCCAACAGACAATGTATTTTTATAAGATGTGTATGTCAGTACTCAAACTGAAATTATTAAATGTTCATTAGTCAGCATCAGTTGGCATCAAAATTTCCATAATGGCAAAAGTGAATTTTTATCTATAATGAATCTAGTAGCATTTTTTCTAAAATTTAACTGAAGAGCATTTACTTGGAAGTGACCGTTCTTTTTATTTTAAAACTTTACTGTTTATGTTTTGTTCTTTTTTCCAAAGCATTTTTCTTTACCTATCTTTTACTTTTTAATAGATATTAATATATGGACATCTAGCTTGCCACGTACTGAATAGATTTGCATTTAAACTGCAGTATTAGAGAACATTGTGATTTATTCTTACAGGATGAATTAGTGTGATTTCTTTGTGTGATAACATTAATATTCCCAAATAGCCTACAAACTTTTCTTTAATACATGAAATATGAATGAGAAATAAGATTTAAAACTCATAGTTCTTTTATGTATTTTATCAACTTTACAGAGAGGTGAAGACTCCTGTTTAAGGAAGCAAGATTTTGGGGATACTTTAGATTGATTTGTGAAAAAACTCATTTTAATTTTAAAGTAGTAATTATGTTTAAATTATTTAAATTTAATTAGTACTTTATTTTTATGGTGGTTAAAAGTTTACCTCTGTTGTAATTCTCAATGCCAAAGAATTATACGCTACTATTAAAGTTTAGTCTGTTAACTAAATCCGTCAGTGATTCAGGGATAGAACTTGCTAGAAATTAGGAATTAGATATGATTTCATTCTGTGAGCATATCCAGAAGAGTAATAAACCAAATAAATTTTTGTAGTTGACATGTTGGCCAGCTGGACATAAATTTACTCATTGTATTTATTATGTCTAGGGCATGTTAAATGTTAATGTATCACGTTGAATTGATTTCATCCATGTCAGACCAAGTAAATAAGCCTTTCACAAAATCATTTCTTGGAAACCATTTAAAATTACAAGGCCTGGCATGGTAGTTCATGCCTATAATTCTTGCACTTTGGGAGGCCAAAGTAGAGGATTGCTTGAGGTCAGGAGTTCAAGACCAGTAACGTAGTAAAACCCCCATCTCTACAAAAATATATACATATATATTAGCCCAGTGTGGTGGCGTGCACTTGTGGTCTAGCTACTGAGGCTGAGATAGGAAGATTGCTTGAGCCCAGGAGTTCAAGGATGCAGTAAGCTATGATCATGGTCACTGCACTCCAGCCTGAGGGACAGAATGAGACCCTGTCTCAAAAAAGAAAAAGCAAAGATTTTCTCTTTGTAATTAATATGGTACTAATTTTTTATTTATTTCTTTTTAATGCACACACAAAAATTTGTTTTTGGTGACTACAGAGTGTAAGGTACTGGGTGAAGACTTTGGGAGATATTTAAGAGGTCTATCCTGTCTTCATGTTTCCACCAAGTGATTTTTTTTCTTTGGTTTATTCTTTGATCTAACAAGTTTGGTTTTACTAAACAATTTTTGTTGGTTTCATTATGTTATTTTAGCACTTAGCATTAGTCGTAGATTTTTTACTATGTGTTTATTGAATACATGAATGATCCACCCTTTTAGTTCAGCAAAATAATACAATGTATAAATGCAACTTAGCGAGTTTCTTTATTTTCTTTAGCCTTGGAGGGGGTACCTTTCTGGGTTTATGCAGTTTATTGACTGGCTGTGAAAGTTTTGAAGAGGCCCTTGAAATGGCATCCAAAGGTGACAGCACACAAGCTGACAAGCTGGTCCGTGATATTTATGGAGGAGATTATGAAAGATTTGGTTTGCCAGGTTGGGCTGTAGCATCTAGGTAAGTTTAACATTTATGTAATAAGTTATGGAACTTAAGTAATTCAAGTTACTTGTTTAGTTTTTGGAAAGCAATATTACAGAAAGTTGTAAGGATGCTTTCTCTTACCCATTTTCGGTTCCACGTTTTGAACATTGATGTCATTTAAAAATTAAGTTTACATTAAGAAATCTACCCTGAGTGTACCTTGTAAGTGTATTTTTATTTTTTTTCCAAGACGGAGTTTCACTCTTGTTACCCAGGCTGGAGTGCAATGGCGCGATCTCGGCTCACCGCAACCTCCGCCACCTGGGTTCAGGCAGTTCTTCTGCCTCAGCCTCCTGAGTAGCTGGGATTACAGGCACACGCCACCATGCCCAGCTAATTTTTTGTATTTTTAGTAGAGACGGAGTTTCACCATGTTGACCAGGATGGTCTTGATCTCTTGACCTCGTGATCCACCCGCCTCGGCCTCCCAAAGTGCTGGGATTACAGGCTTGAGCCACTGCGCCCAGCAAGAAACTTTTTTTTTTTTTTTTCCTAATTTTTTAGTGTTCTTCCAGTGTTTCTCTATGCAAATACAAGTACATATTCTTTCTTTTCTCCCCATATACAAAAGGTAATCTACCATTATATGGCATACTATATATAGTCTTAAAGTATCCATATACCCTAGAAATCTTTACATGTTGTTGTTCTTATTTTATACATGTGTAGGCCTATGTGTAGGATAAGTTCCAAAAGGTTGGACTGCAAATGCATTTTTGAGATACTGTAAATTATGCAAAGGAGCAGTACTGTTTCACTCTCACCAGAAGTAAATGGAAGTGCCTGTTTCACCAGTAGAGTGCTAACTTTTGCATTTTTGCTGATCAGATGGACAAGTGGTATCTTAATGTAATTTTAATTTGTGTTTCTCCTACTAACACTGAGGTTAAGAACCTTGCATATTTTATTTTCTGTGAGTTATTATTCTGTGTTCTACTTTTCTGTTGGATTGTTATACTGTTGAATTTATCAGTCTTTTCTTTTATGGCTTCTGGATATTGATTCATAGTAAGTAAGTCTTCTACGTTCCAAATATATAAAGGAATAAACCCTTGTTCTGATATGTTAATGGTGGTACTTTTATATTTAAATATTTGATTTACTTATAGTTTATCTTAGGGTATTATGTGAGGTACAGATCATGCTTTCATTTTTCAGGTTTTTTTTTTTTCTTTTAGAAGGCTCTAATGTCTAATGGTTCATCTTTATTTCACTGATTTGTGATTTTTTTTTACATATGCTGGCATTTCATTATTCTGTTGATGTATCACCATTATACTTTTAGCTTTATAGAGGCATAAAAGTATGTTTTAATCTCTAGAAGGGCTAGTTTCATCCCTTTGCTTGATTTTCAATATGAACTTTACAAGCATTTTCTCTATTACAAAAAGTTTTTTTTGGAATCTCAGTAAATTTACGTATTAACTTAGGGACAAATGATATCATTATAGTAAGTATTGCTGTCGAAGAACTTAGATTGTCTTTCTGTTTGTTTAAGGCTCCTGTTGTGCCTTTCACACATTGAAAGAGGCCTCTCCAAATATGTCCATACATTTTTTCCCCCCTAGATAGCTTCAGCACATACATGGTTTTTTAAATCGATTCCTAAGTATTTTACATTTACCATTCTGTTATATATTAATCTTATCTCCCATTACACTTCCTAACCATTGTTGTCTGTGCACCCCAAGTTCTTTGTCAGGGAATCCAGTGCCCTTTGATAGTGGGTGGACTTTGTCTCATTCTTCAGTAATATCTCCTGCCTCTCCCTCACTAGATGCTTCACTCTGATCAACATCTTGTGATTGCATAGATGTTTTCAGTTCTCATTTCTGTGTGCCTTTAACCTTTGGTTGCCTCTGCCTAAGATTTTCCTTCTATTTTTTTCGGGCATTTTACGGTCCTTTTACTCTGAAAAGCCCTGTCTCATACCTTCTTAACTTTTTCCTCTAACCCCAGTAATAAAAGATCTTTTTTTCCTTGTATTTCCAAAGTTAGCCTTTGTTTGTTTTTTCCTATTACTGTTAGTGCTTCTCTTGCTGTCTCTTGTATCTAGGCCTGCATTGTCCATTACGGTAGCCTCTAGCCACATCAGGCACTTGGTATATGAGTGCCATATGTTGAAATGATGACATTTGAATATATTGGCTTAAATGTACAATTAAAATTAATTTCACTTGTTTATTTTTACCTTTCTAATGTGGCTAATAGAACATATATGAAATTACATATTACTCATATTTTATTTCTGTTGGACAGTGCTGCACTAGAGTAATTCACTGTTTGAGGGACTATTTGTGTCTCCAGCAAAAAGTTTGGTATGTCATAATGTTTCTTGTGACTGAATGAAAAGGAATTTGAAGTTAAAGCTGAGATACTTTTGGAAACATTTTGTAATTTTGACTTTGTTAATTTGTTTTGAACCAGGTTTACAAATGAAGATATTTTAGTAATCTTTGCTTTCTTATAATAACTATGCTTTTTTTGAGATGTAATTTTAACCTTAATCCTTTGAAAGGTATTACTTTATACTTTTGCATAGATTTTTTTTATTAGTTTGTTTCAGATTATCCCTATGTGTTTCTACTTTTTGGTCCTAATTTTATAAAAATATCCAGGTTGTAGATATATCTGTTAATACGTAAAATGTTGCATTTTATCAGCAGATTTGACTTTTATTTTTCATTTTTCTGCAGTTTTGGGAATATGATTTATAAGGAGAAGCGAGAATCTGTTAGTAAAGAAGATCTGGCAAGAGCTACTTTAGTTACTATCACCAATAACATTGGTTCTGTGGCACGAATGTGTGCTGTTAATGAGGTAAAAAAAAACGCAAAACTTGAATTATCAGAAATGTGAATACTACATCTAGCAGGGCTTCTTCACTTTCCCTAAGGAGGCCTCTGGGATTGAGATGTAGCCAATTAAACACCAAGACTCATTAGGTATATATGTTAGGTATATGTTGCTGTATTACCTTTAAAGAAAGTAGCAGATAATTCAAATTGAAATAGGGGATATTTATCCAGAAATTTTTTTCAGAAAAACACAATCTAAATCCCTCAAAGATATAAAAGAAAATTCTAAGCATAAGACATTTTGAAGTAACTACTTTGAGAAAGCAGTTTTTTTAGTCTTAATGTTACGTTTGGAAAGCAGCTGTGCTCACCATTGTACCACCAATGCTTAATGTTGCATTTGATTTTCTTACTGCCCTCGGCTTCTTTACAGTGCTGCCTTGTTGCATATGGATCAAGCAGCATTGTACAGGGCTATGAAGGCATTGAGACCTGTTCTTCATGATATTTGAGTGGTGTTTATTGTTTGTTCCAGGAAAAGTGTGAAAAGCATATACTGTTAGATTGACCGTATAGTTGGGATTTTTTTGTTTGGAAGATAATGAAAAGAAAAATATATATATATACACACACACACACACACACATACATATATATACATATGTATGTGTGTGTGTGTGCGCGCATGCACGTGTGCGTATGTATATATTTAATTCTGGCTTCCTTATATAATAATAGATATATTTGCCCATTTAATTTTTATAAATATCAAATACTTTAAATGGATTGGGAAATAGCCTTTTTGATCAAACCCTTACTTTGTTCATTCACTCATTTATTCATTGAGTAAATATTTACTGATTACCAGATGCCAGACATTGTTCTGGGTATTTGGAATATATTAATGAAGAAAACAAAGATCTGGCTTTGTGGAGCTTGCATTCATTCTGGCGATATATTAAGTAGATTGTTTAGTCTGTATTAGGTGATAAATGTTTATTTTTTAAAAAGAGACCATCAAACAGGATAAAGAGGATTGGGAATAGGGTAGAGAGTGGTAGAGGACAAATTGCCAAGTAATTGAGGGTTAAAGGAAAGTTACATTGAAAATATGATTCTCAGGCACAGCATTGAAGGCAGTGAGGGGGAAACTGTGCATGTAGACATTTAGAGGAGAAAGCTTCCAGCAGAGAGAACAACTATGCAAATCCTCTGAAATATTCTATATTTAAATCCAGAACTTGATCTCATCAGTTTTTTTTAATAACCTAAGAAACTTAAGTGTTAGTTGACTGATGGAGCTACTAGTAGGCCATTTAACCTCGATTTGGGTAATATTTCACTTTGGGCGCTGACAACAATTTGGGACCTTTGTTCTTACCCCTGTATGTCTAAATTTCCACTGACCAATTGAGCTAACAATAACTAAGGCCATGGTTTACAGTATCCCAACTTATGTACAAAGATTTCTACTCAAAAGTCATTATCGTGAGAGTCAAAACACCAGTTCCCCTATCTAAGATTTCCTAATCATAAAGGTATCTAAGAAACCAAATTAGTATGGAATCTTAGCAGAGAGAGAATGACATGTTGAATCAGGCAGGGGATGGACAAAGAGTGCTAGAATCCCAGGGGTTTGAAGGCATATGCCAGTACCCCAGTCAGTATTACTCTTGAACTCTATAGAATCCACGGTTACGTGTCATTGTCCAACATGTGTTGCAATATAGGGGCCAAATTTGTTACGTATCCTAAATGCATTTTACCATGGTTTTATTATTATTTTTTAATCACATCAATAATGTGTCTCCAAATGACTTTGTAAAGGGGCTATTTGTTAGCCATTTTAGAAAACAAGTCTCACCTGAAATCATCTGCTAGGATGTTTCTAGAACCTTTTTTTTTTTAAAGTAGACTTTATTTATTTATCTATTTTTTAAAGGCGGGGGTTTAACCATGTTGGCCAGACTGGTCTTGAACTCCTGACCTCAGGTGGTCCACCCGTGTCAGCCTCCCGAAGTGCTGAGATTACAAGCATGAGCCACCGCGCCCGGCCAGACTTTATTTTTTAGATCAGTTTTAGGTTCACATAAAATTAAGTGGAAAGTTCTGTGAGTTTGATATACCCTTCCATACACACACACTCCTCCTCCATTCTCCGCATCCCACAGTAGAGTGGTCATGTGTTGTAGTCCACCATCCTGTGTTCACACATCATCATCACCCAAAGTCCATAGTTTAAGATTTGCTCTTGGTGTTATACATTCTGTGGATTTTGACAAATGTATGATGATGTGTCCAGAACTAATTTTTAAATACTCAGGATTATAGAGCTGTATGCCAGGAATGTAGTAGGTATTGTACTAGTAAAGGGTCGTTGTTTACATTTGTAAATAAATATTTTGAAACCTTTTGTATTGTAAAACCTATTAATTATTTTTAAAAGTTTTTTCTTTGTTCTTTTCTTTTAGAAAATAAACAGAGTTGTCTTTGTTGGAAACTTTTTACGTGTCAATACCCTCTCAATGAAACTTTTGGCATATGCACTGGATTATTGGTCAAAAGGTCAACTGAAAGCATTGTTTCTAGAACATGAGGTATGGTAGGAAAATGTTTTGTGAATTTTAATAGCATGTTTTTTAAGAGACAGGGTCTTGCTCTGTCACTCAGGCTTGAGTTTAGTGGTGTGATGATGGCTCACTGCAGCCTCTTCTAGACTCAGCAATCCTCCCACCTCAGTCTCCCAAGTAGCTGGGACCACAGGCGTGCACCATCATACCTACCTAATTTATTTTTATTAATGTTTTTTGTAGAAGCAGGATCTCCCGTTGTTGCCCAGGCTGGTCTGGAACTCCTAGCCTCAAGCAATCCTTTATAAAAGATGTGAGCCACCATGCCCAGCCTTAAGTAGAATATTCCTTCACTTTAGTTTCAGTTTTGGGGAAGAGAATTAACAGTAACCTGGTAGGCACCCCTAAATTTTTGTTTATACATTTTCTACATGCAGTTAAATTCTGATCTGAACAATTACCAGTCTACATAATGTTTTGGATTAACTTGAATTATTTTATGGTCAAAGTCAGATGGCTATATCATTACAAATTAGTAACACGAAGTATTCTGCTCTTAAAAGCTTCCATGTCTCATTGTCATTGCTTACAGGATGTAAATCAGAATGGTGTGCTCTTGTGCAGGTCCACATGGCATGCAGTGAGAGTGTCAGGCACAGCCACAGGAAGTTAATTTGTTTATTAAGTAAAGGGGAGAGGGTACAGAATTGCTGTTACAGTCCTGAAAGCTTTAGTGTCTAAAGGCCACACTTTCAGAATACATATTTCAGTGTGAGCCTATAGTCCCAGCTACTTAAGAGGCTGAGATGGGAGGACCACTTGAGCTCAGGATTTCAGGGCCAGCCTGGGCAACATAATGAGACTCAGTCTCTAAAAATAACAATAATAAATAAAAATACATATTGCAGAGGTGTGTAGAAATCAAGAATACAAATTGAGAAATTTTTTTTGTAATAGCTAACAATGCAGAAATTGGTAGATTTCCAAATATTAAACAAATAGATTGTGCATAATTATGTGTTCTCAAGTGATTAATATTGTATGCTAATTTAAAAGCTGCACTATATAACAGTTATTTTTAACTTATACAGGGATACTTTGGAGCAGTTGGTGCACTTCTTGGGTTGCCAAATTTCAGCTAAAGAATCAGGTCTCTCTCTCTGCTAATAAATGTCATCCAAGAGGAACTAAAACCAGAGGCATTATTACTGCATTGTTTGTCATTGGGAACCAAAGGATAAAAGAGTAGCATAAGCTGCTGAATGTTGCCATATTAAAGGAGAGAACTTAGTAATGTGAAGTATTTCTCACTGAAATGCTTTCCCATTTGTATATAGCCAGTGTTAAATTCTTAAATGCAATACAGCCTCTGATTATTGAGCTTCCTCTCAAAAAAGATTTTTTTATTTTATGTAGCCAACATTGCAGTACTGTATGCTCAAACACAAATCTTAAAGTCTTGGAAATGTTTAGCTTATGAAAATAATCGACTCTGAATATTTGTTACAAGTCTGATTTATGTGTTTTGATTACTAGTGAGCAGAAAATAACATACCCTGTATCCAAAATTATTGAAATGGCAATCAAAGATTATCATTTTTATGTGATTTTAGAAATGTTAAGGCAATGCTTCTAATTATTGTAGTTTTTTTTTAACGTATCACCCCAAAGCATGTTTATGTGATCTTTCCCCATAAGTATCTTTTCTCAAATCCCATAATTAACTGAAATACTATTCTTAAATTTTCACATGAATTATAAAATGAATCCTAGGAAATACACATTTGGTGACATTGCACTTTCTGTATTTTACAATTAATCAATACATGTTGAAATGTTTAACATTTTAAGATTGGAGGCTTAATTACTTATTTGAGTCTGTCTAATGAGGTCTTGGAACTATTCTAATGGAATCTGATTTGAGTACACTGTGCTCTTTTTTTTTGGTCATATGTACATTCAGAATTTTTGTTTTAAAATAAGCACAGTAACAAAAATGGAAAATTAATATGAAAATACTCACTAGTGACTGAAAAATGGGAAAACCTCTACCATGCTTTATTATCACCCTTCACTGTTTGAGGAGCCAGAAATAGAGATACAGTTAGAGGAAAGTTGCCTTTTCAAAAAAAAAAAACCCTCCATAGCCATGTGGATTTTTATCCAAAGGCTCAACAACCAGAGGGAATGGTGAGAACTGATAACCGAAATACTGTTATTGGCAAGGGTTTGAAATGTATAAGAGTGAAGGAGGGAAAGGGAGATTGAGCAATATAGAAAAAGGGGAAGAGACGCTGAGTGTCATCGAGGGCCAATCTCCATTTATTCCGTTTATAAAAATACTGCAAAACCAGGAGTTGATTGTAGAAGTGCCCATGATCCATGGCAGAAGTAAATCCCTCCCACCACCTCTAACCCTCGGAAAGCTCCAGAGTTAGAAGCAAGTTTTCCATTTTCTTCTTATCACCTTAAAAGAATGCCTTCCACTCCTCCACAGCCCCCATCGAGGGACCCCAAGAGACCACATGCTCTGATCTCACACTTTCTTTCCTGTTCCCCTTGCCTGAATCTGGAGTGGGGTTGAGCCCTCTACCCTCAACCTTAAGATTTAGGAAGTTCTTTCCCCAACTGTCTAACTTGGAAAGGGATGAGTCTGAATTTTGAAGTTCTGAATGCAAATTCCCCTCAGCAGAGGCAGTGTTACTTATAGACGTAGGGATATAGTGGGATGAGTTTTAATACATCCAATCCAAAAGGGGTTTTTTCCTCTTACTTCCTCCATGTAGGAAGGTATGTCTTGGGCAACTTTTATCAGTATCAACGGAAAAATGATAGGCACTACAATGAAATGGCAGGATGCCAGTATGAGATATTTCAGGAATAATCAGAAATACAGTTTGTATAAAATAAACTAGCTCTAATAAAGTTTTCAAGGACAGTGATAGTGTTCATTTTTAAGAGGCAATTCTAGAACTGCACTGTCCAAATACGGCAGCCACTACCCATACATAGCTATTGAGCATTTGAAATGTGGTTAGTCCAAACTGAGATGTGCTCTAAGTGTAAAATATACACTGGTTTTGAAGACTAGGGACAATAAAAGGTTAAATATCTTCTAATTTTTTGTATTGATTACATGTTGAAGTTTTAACATTGGGAATATTGGATTAAAGAAAAATATACAATTAAAATGAATCTTGTCCAGGCACGGTTGGTCATGCCTGTAATCCCAGCTCTTTGAGAGGCAGAGGTGGGTGGGTCACCTGAGGTCAGGAGTTCAAGACCAACCAGAGCAAAACTCTGTCTCTACTGAAAATACAAAAATTAGCCAGGCCTGGTGGTGTGTGCCTGTAGTCTCAGCTACTTGGGAGGCTGAGGCTGCAGTGAGCCAAGATTACACCACTGTATTCTAACCTGGGAGACAGAGTGAGACTCGTCTCAAAAAAAAAAAAAACCTGTTTCTTGTGGGGTTTTTTTTTTTTAATGTGATTACTAGAAAAGATATCACACATGGTTCACATTTTATCTCTCAAGACAGTACTGTTTAAGAACTTAGAACTTTGAGGCAGTGTAATATTAGAACCAAATCTGTTTACCACAATAAGCTTACAGGGAGTTATTTGAGATCTTAATAAAAAATTATAATCTTTGGCAGCCTTTATTAAGATTTTGTGTTCTTAGTAGTCCAGTAATTGTAGAATACATATGAGAAAAGCTAAGAGCCACAATGGTGAGATGGTTGCTGACTTTACATGCACTTTAGCAGGTAATTTCAGTTTCAAAGGGCAAAATATATAAATCATAGTTCCACATTAACCAAAGTACAGTGATCGGATAACTTAGACTTTGACCATTCCATTTTTTCTTAAAGGCTGCCCTAAATCTATAGCTGCTAATACAGTATTTGTCACAGGTATAAAACTTGCAGTTACTATCATTCAATTAAGATTCTTATCTATATAGATTTACAAATCAGAAACTTTTAAAATAAATTGGACTAATGGAATTTTGGCTCAAATATTTAGTCACAACAGTGGAAACATTAAAGCAAGGAATATGAGGTCATTGTAGGGTTTTAAAATGGCTACTGACTGACATGAATTCAAAGTTTCAAACAGTCTTAATTCTAAAAAGTTACCTTTACATGCTTTTCCTCCTAAATAACCACTCTTAGAATTCATACGTTCGTGTCTTCAGGTAAAGAAAACTGAATTTTAAACATTTGAGGCTGCGTACAGTGGCTCATGCCTGTAATCAAATGTAAGAACTTGAGTAAAAAATTTGAAAAACTACATGGGGAAATGTTTTTATCACGCGTCTCTTGATAGTCTACTGAAAACTGTCTATTAAGTAAAACTGTGGTCTGTAAAACAAGCAAAAAAAAAAAACCCATATTGATAACTTCCTTGCATAATGTAAACAATTTTTAAAATTCTTTAAAGTATATCTTGATTTACTGGTAATGTATAGAAGTCAATTTTAGGCTGGGCACGTGGCTCATGCCTGTAGTCCCAGCACTTTGGAGGCCAAGGCAGATTGATCACGAGGTCAGGAGTTGAAGACCAGCCTGGCCAACATGGTGAAACCCTGTCTCTACTAAAAGTACAAAAATTTAGCCAAGTGTGGTGGCACGTGCCTGTAATTGCAGCTACTCGGGAGGCTGAGGCAGGGAATTGCTTGAACCTGGGAGGCAGAGGTTGCAGTGAGCTGGGATCACGCCACTGCACTCCAGCCTGGGTGACAGAACAAGACTCCATCTCAAAAGAAAAAAAAGTCAATTTTACCCCCAAGTATTTCTACTTCCTAAACCATTAACAAAAGACTCAAACAACTTCACTTAACTATTGGACCTCCAGTGTTACCTTGCCAACATCTGAAAAACTTTGTAAGCACTATAAAAAATAAATTCAAAAGAGAATAAATTCCCAGGTAAAAGGATTTATAAATTTTGGAACTATTATGCTTTTATTACCAGAATGTACTAAACATTGATCCTTTAGTAATTCTGCAATATTGCCTTAGACTCCCACAAAATTTCAAAACAATTCATCTGTTAGATTTCCATATTTATTTGGCATAAACATGGTTTTATTGCTGTTGTTCATAATAGAATAAAATATTTAGCTTTGATGGTTCAGATGTAATAAAAAGAAGTGACTAAGTTTGGGCCTGAGATAAATATGGTAAAGCAAGAACACAGAGATCCTGTAATGATGAGTGAGTTTTAGGGCATTACTGAGGACCTGAAAACTTGGTGCACACTTTGAAGGTTTTGTTGGCCAGAAGAGGTGTCTTTGGAATCCCACTCCTAGCTCTTTTTTGAAGATTTGAAAAGAATTAGATAAGGGCCATGGGGACACAGAAGGTCACCCCACTTCTTTTCAGCATTGGAGTCATCAGTGCTCCTGAGACAATCATAAAGGACTTTCTCAATTATACTTGGAAAGATAGGTTAGAAGACTCTCCATCTGAGGTGTTACTCATGTACCCTCGGCCCTTGTCTGTGGCCATCTTCCCCAATGATGATATGATTGGCTTCTTTCTGTTGCACTCTTTGTCAACCACTTTGGCAGGTGCAATTCAGTGCTTATCAATTTATTGGCTATCACTGGTGTCTGCCTCACTGGATTCTGCAAAAAAAACTGAGTGGGTTGAAATGCTTATCATGGACCACTTGGTTACTGACTTGTTCTGTGGAATCTGCACAGGTTTTGTGCCCATGTACATTGGAGAGATCTTGCCTACTGCCCTTCGGGGTACTTCTAGTGCTCTCAACGAGCTGGGCATCCTTGTTGGTATTCTGGAGGGCCAGATCTTTGGTCTGGAGTTCATCTTGGGGTCTGAAGAGCTATGCCCAGCAATACTGGGCTTTTACCATCCCTCAGCTGTCCTATAAAGTGTAGCCCTTCCATTTTGCCCTACAAGTCACAAGTTTTTGCTCATGAACAGAAAGGAAGAGTACTAATGAGACCCTCCAGCAATTGTAGGAGACTCAGAATGTGTCCTTGGACATCTAGGAGATGAAAGATAAGAATGCTGGGATGGTACAAAAAAAGCAAGTCACTACGCTGGAGTTCTTTACCCAGCTACTGACAGCCCACCGTCATTTTTATCGTACTCCAGCTCTCAGTAGCTCTCTGGAATCAATGTTGTCTTCTCTATTACTCAATGAGAATCTTCAAGGACATAGGTGTTGAGAAGCCAATCTATAGATTAGTGCAGGCCTGGTTAATACTATCTTCTTTACTGTAGTCTTTCTGGTTGAAAGGGCAGGAAGGACTTTACATATGATAGGTCTTGGAGTAATGGCTTTTTGTTCTGTCCTCATGACTGTTTGTTTATTAAAGGATGAGTATGGTGGATGAGCTTTGTCTGTAGTGGGGTTACCTTGGTCTTTGTGGCCTTCTCTGAAGTTGGACCAGGCCCCATTCCCTGGTATACTGTGGCTGCACTCTTCAGTTTGCAGTAGCAGTGGCTGGTCGCTCCAACCGAACCTCCAACTTTCTAGTTGGATTGCTCTTGAAAAATTATTATCTAGTTTTAAGTGTTTTGTTGCTTTAGGGTCATGTCATGCTTATGCACATCTGTTAACCATTTGACCTTGGTACTGTGCCAGGTTCCCTTAGGGGAACTGAATCTTTCCAGTAGAACACATTTGAGATGGTAGGAGTCAACTGGGCACAGTTCCCAGCAATCCAAAATACTATAGATACTTCACTAAAGCAAATCTAATGATTCCACTGCCTTCATTTCTAAAATTTGAATTGGACTTACGAGCAGCCAGTTTTTAAGGATTAAAAAGAAACTTTAATGTGTTGTAGACCTATACACAGAAAAATCTTTGTAACTTTTGGGCTTAATTTTCATTCTTAAAAAATATGGTAACTTTCAAATGCAAGGAGCACTGTCAGTTTGCTGTGAGACTAAACAAAGAACACAAGATGTAGAATTTTCCATTACCACCACCCCGCCCCTGTGAGAAGATTGCCTTTTAATTAAGAGACTTTTAGAACTAGTGATTTTAAGTTCTACTCTCATCTTTTCCAAAGACTAAGTCTTTATTAGTAAATTTGCCATGTAATTTCACCTGCCAGTTCCTTGCTCAGCTACTCTGAATAAGCTGGAAATTAGGTGGTCTCTTAGTTTAGGTAAAGTCAGTGCTGTTGCCAGTAATATATATGATAATTGAAAGCCCTTAAAGTGGTTCAGATTATTTGCCAAATATTCCATAAAATTTTCTGAGTTTTTTTTTTAACCTTTGAGTGTACATGTGATTGCTATATTGTAAATACCAGTTCCTGAAAGACTGTTTCTGTAAGCAGAATGGTGCAGCACAAAGTGAAAAGGTTTTCCTCCTACTCCAGCAGTATTCTTGGCTTCAACGAATAGTCTAGTCTACTACATCTTGTCTTGATTTTTAAAGTTTATTCTTGGATGGAAAGCTTAACTGGGTAGTAATTTCCAAATGTTCTTTATAACCACTCTGTATATTATTAGCAGTTTTTTTTATATTTTATTGTATCTTTTTCTGTTAAGCACTTTATGCTTTTTAGTCTTTTGCATTTAGAATGTAGTTTAGAAATTCTTTCACTGTTTAGAGCCATGTGAAAACTGATAGAAGATTATGAAAAGGAGTGTACATTATTTTGTATTTAACTTACTGTTTTGTGGTATGTGTAAACAAAACGTTAGAAATATATTGTCTTTTGTAATAATACTCTTTGACCTCATTTAAAGTGATCTGCCGTGAGCTATCAATGATCAAGTTTATGTTTATTCTAATGTGTTTTATTCTGATACCTAAGGAATTCAGCCAGCTTTGTTTCTATCATCAGATAAGCCCGGAAAATAGTTTTATCTGTATTACTGCCTCTTTTCAATATTTAAGAGAATGTAATTGTCTTCTGATTTCTACTGAGCCCAGTAATAATCACTAAAGACCTAGAAAAGTGAGTAACTCTTTCCTATCATCCAGAGTATTTGGATAGCCCATTCAAGATAATGGTGGAATGAAAATGAATCAGCCCGGCTTTTCTGCCATGTCTAAATTTTGAATAATTTTTAACTGAAAGAAGTTCACATGTTTTCTTAAAGAAGTCACTACTATTTGCATCAATCCTGTATATTCAGTGAATGTGAGGTCATATTTGGTATTGCATTAGAAGTAGTGTTGGTCACTGGTCTTGCCTCGGTGAACATTATTTTTATTTGTAAAATGAGGGAACTGGTTTGTTACGATGGGAAATGAGTCGTTTTCTGGGTCCTAAGAAAGTTGCTTCATTCATGGCAGTGTTTGGGATAACTGAAGTAATTTTTTTTCCAGGTATTTGGTGTCATGCTTTGTAGTTAATGTTTAGTGCTTACATAATTTTAAGTTATTACATAATTTTTATTGGTATATATTTATAGGTACTAGGTTTTGGATTCTCACCAAACCAGTAGAATGGCATTCTCTCTTAATATGTTATTGCCTGTAATGGCCAAGTAGATAATACCTTAAAGTAATATGAAAGGTTTTATATGTATATTAAAATGTTGTGTGTACTTTTATATCTGTAAAGGTTATCTGGAATTTTTACTGTGTTAACTTCAGAATTATATGGGCATTATGACTTTTTCGTTGTACAAAATACATATTCATAAATGTTGGAATATAGATGTTCCTTGACTTATGATAGGGTCATGTTCTATTAGACCCATTGTAAATTGAAAATCCCATAAGTTGAAAATCATTTAATACACCTAACCTAGTAAACATCCTAGCTTAGCCTAGCCTATCTTAAATGTGTTGAGAACATTTAACATTGACCTATAGCTGGGCAAAATCGTCTAAAACAAAACTTATTTTATAATGAAGTGTTTAAATATCACACATAACGTTAGCCCAGGATAATACCAAAATACGAAATTTTGAAGTACAGTTTCTACTGAATGTGTATTGCTTTTGCACCATTATAAAGTTGAAAAACCGTAAGTCAAATCATTGTTAAGTTAGGCTGTATATGTTACGTATATTTGGGGTTTTTTTAGTGGCCCTTTTCAAAAAGCTGTTTATTATTTCTAATCATTGTAGTGGGGATAGATGTGGGAAGAACCACATCTCTACTAAAAATAGAAAAAGTAGTCAGGCTTGGTGGTGCACACCTGTAGTCCCAGCTAGTCGGGAGGCTGAGGCAGGAGAATCAATTGAACCTGGAGGCAAAGGGTAGATCATCCATCCCACTGTATTCCAGCCTGGGCAACAGAGCGAGATTCTGTCTCAAAAATAACTAAATTAATAAATAAGTGTACACTGAGCTGATACTGGGATTTCAGGTACTACAGTTAGCATGAATGATGTGTTTGGGGTAAATCAATTTTTTTTTCTTAAGAAAGATCTAAAAATCTTTATTTATGTTCTAGCTCCTGTAGTCAAAATATTTTTTTTTTTTTTTAGAATTTGTTTTTGCTGAAACTGCCACTAATTTTGCATTTAAAAGAACAAAAGAGGCATGTATTTTTCAAAGGAGTGAATGAGGTTAAAATCAAGATTTTGAATGATATAAATATGCAACTGATTCAATTGTAGGCTATTATCAAATTTTTTTATTTCCAAGTATCTTTCCTTCATAGATGGCAGTTCTTACAGTTCCAATAGCTTTCCAAGAAAACATTTCCCATGTTTACATATTTGTAAAGTATGCATAAATAATGTAGAATAATTTGGGATTATCTCAGCTTTACATTGTGTGTCTCAATTTCATCGAGGTCATACCTAGCTGAGTCAATAGCTTTCACAGGTATTAAGCCATTTGGAATTTGTCACTTTTTTCTGGGGAACCTGTTTTAATTTAGATTATTTTACAGCATTTAGAAATAGAAGGTAACTTTATAGAAGTAACACCGATATCTCAGTCTGCTTGTCCTGAATATAATTAATAGTATTAGGATGTAAGTGATACTAAGGTGGTTTTTATTATTTTTTATACACTGTGTGCTTTTACTTTTTATTTAAACTACAGCTAAAAACTGACTTTTTAACTAAAATTGAATGACATTTCCCTTAATGCCCTGTTTTTGACTGAATCATACTCAGAAGATGTTATGTCCCAATCTAGGGAATCCTTTAATTTGAGGATTAATTGTACTTACACATGCCATTTCAGTTTAAGTTGCCTTACTCTATTACTTTATTCTTGTCAAATCTAAGCTTTGTCATGTTTGAATTCTTTCAACACTGAATCTGTGATGTAAAAATGTATGATGTGCTACAAATTTTATTCATAATAAACTAAGTTATAGCCTATTGCAACCTGTAAGACATTTATTGTAAATTACCTAATTTATTTTTTCATTTATGTACAGTTTCTTATGTATATTTAAAAAATATTTGCCATGGTGCATTCTGTAAACATTCCCATATTCTTTTCCTTAATGCTTATTTGCATGAAAGTAACTTGGGTTTTGCTTGTTTCTGTTGGATAGCCATTAAACCAACTTCAGTATCTCTGTATTTTTCTGTAGCTTAAGTTTCTAATTTTGTTCATATTCAAAATAGATGTTACGGCCATACTTTTTATTTTCTACTTTCTAAATAAATTCTCTAAGTTGTTTACTATGTGTACCTTTTTATTTACATTACATATTCCCACATTTTCACTTTGATTAAATGTAAGGTTGTAGTTAATTCCGTGAAAGTAAGAACTTTGTAAAGTTTTGTTCACTTCTAGGTCCCCAGCACCTGGCACAGAGAAAGCATTTGTGAAATTTTAGAATTGCATTTATTAAGATGTGAAAAGCTTTCCCCGCACCACCACCCCTTGAAATGAGAGACCATGTTATCCTTCATCAGAAATGAATGTTGTTGGCATTTTGGTTTTTGGGGGGGTTTTCCCGAGACAGAGTCTCTCTGTTGACCAAGTTTGAGTGTAGTAGTGCAGTCATAGCTCACTGCAACCTTAGCCTCCCAAGTAGCTGAGACTACAGGCATGCACCACCATGCCTGGCTGGGGTTTTGTTTGTTGTTTAGGTGTTTTGTTTTGTTTGTGCATGTGGTGGGGGGTTAGAAATGGGGTTTTGCTGTGTTGCCCACGCTGTTCTCAAACTCCTAGGCTCAAGCGATCTACCCACCTTGGCATCCCAAAGTGCTGGAATTACAGGCTTTATGGGGTACGTAAGATGTTTTGATACAGACATGCAATGTGAAAGAAGCTCATCATAGAGAATGGGGAATCCATAGCCTGTTAAGTTTGTTTAGAAAAAAAATCTTAATTTGTGAGGCAGTAAATTGGAAATTTGACTGCTGTGTTTTCAAATTGTATAGTTGTCTTAACTCCTGGCATAGTTTTCATATGATATTTTCTTTATTTGGAGGATATAGGAATGGTTGAAAACATGAACATGACTACCATGTGACATGTGAAGTATATATCTTTTATTTTTACCAAAAAATTCAGTAAGCAGGAACTAGGATGAAAAAAATAGAAGATCTGGACTAAAGGAGAACATGATGTGGTATGAAGTAAGAGATTTGAGATGTAGTTTAGCTCTTCAAATGTCTAAGTACTGCTGCCACAAGCACTTAGAAATAAGCTCCTGAAGAGCAAACATTCAAGGCTACACACTTAAATCCTTCATTTAAATCAACTTTCTAAGCAGGTAAGAGTCTACTGGAGTCAATACACAGTGCTATATAAATTTTGAAAAAGCATCCAGGAGCGGTAGCTCACACCTATAATCCCAGCACTTTGGGGAACCAAGGCGGGTGGATCACTTGAAACCAGGAGTTCCAGACGAGCATTGCCAATGTGGCAAAACCCCATCTCTACTAAACTTAAAAAATTAGCCAGGTGTGATGGCGCACACCTGTAGTTCCAGCTAATCAGCTGAAGCACGAGAATTTGCTTGAATCTGGTAGGTGGAGGTTGCAGTGAGCCAAGATCGCACCACAGCTCTACAGCCTGGGCAACAGTGAGACAAAAAACATAAATTTGGGGCCGGGTGTGGTGGCCCATGCCTGTAATCCGAGGACTTTGGGAGGCTGAGGCGGGCAGATCATGAGGTTAGAAGATCAAGACCATCCTGGCTAAAATGGTGAAACCTCGTCTCTACTAAAAATACAAAATACTAGCCAGGCGTGGTGATACACGCCTATAGTCCCAGCTGCTCAGGAGGCTGAGGCAGTAGAATTGCTTGAACCCAGGAGGCGGAGGTTGCAGTGAGCCAAGATCATGCCATTGCATTCCAGCCTGGTGACAGAGCAAGACTGTCTCAAAAAATAAATACATTTTGAAAGCAAAATGTCTACCATCTATGATACATTCCTTAATGAATGTTATGTGTATTAAGCAAACTTTAATGTTTCTACATCTAAAAATCTGTTGATCAATTTCTATGGTAATACTTTTTAAGTTCCTGTTTTGAGATATTCATATGCATCTGGTATTGGTGGGTGGAGAGGAGTAAGATTTGACTTTTTCCCTAAAGTAAACCTGGAAAACCTGACTTGCTCCTGGAACTTTACATCCTTTTCATAGAAAATTAGTACTTTTTGATACTTTTTAATGTTACCCAGAGGTGAACAATACCCCAGAAGTGCAGCTGACCACATGTTTAGGTCAGTAAGTGCTCATCCCCAGCCAGGGTTTTAAGAATAACCTTTACAGGCCGGGCGCAGTGGCTCACGCCTGTAATTCCAGCACTTTGGGAGGCCAAGGCGGGCGGATCACGAGGTCAAGAGATAGAGACCATCTTGGCCAACGTGGTGAAACCCCGTCTCTACTAAAAATACAAAAAATTAGCTGGGCATGGTGGTGCGTGCCTGTAATCCCAGCTACTCAGGAGGCTGAGGCAGGAGAATTGCCTGAACCCAGGAGGCGGAGGTTGCGGTGAGCTGAGATCACGCCATTGCACTCCAGCCTGGGTAACAAGAGCAAAACTCCGTCTCAAAAAAAAAAAAAAAAAAAAAGAATAACCTTTACACTTTCTGGAAACAGTAGCAAAAATTACCAAAACTATCAAGGAATGTTCTTTTTGATTTAAGCTCACTATGCTCATTTTCCTCTAGCAAGAGTGTGGAGTCCAGCTACCCCAGATTTCTTTGAAAACAAACACAAAACATTAAATGATACCACTAAAATAATTCAGGCACCTGGACTTGAAAAAAGTAACTTGGCCCTCCATCTGTGAGTTCCGCATCTGCGTATTCAGCCAACTGTCAATTGAAAGTATTTGAAAGAAAAAAATACTACAACAAAATAATATATGGGAGCTTAAGGAGAATACATGGACACAAAGGGGACAGAAACTGGGGCCTACTTGAGGGTGGAAGCTGGAAGGAGGGAGAGGATCAGAAAAAAATCTATTGGGTACTAGGCCTAGTACCTCGGTGATGAAATAATGTGTACAACGAACCGCTGTGACATGAGTTAACCTATATAACAACATGTACCCTGCAACCTCAAATAAAACTTTAAAAAATAATGCAAATAAAAATACAGTATAACAACTATTTACAATGTATTAGGTATCATAAACCAGGGTGATTTTAAAGTATATGGGAGTTGCCTAGCAATAGGACTCGGGAAAAAAAAGCATATAGGAGGATGTGTAGGTTATACACAAATTCTACGCCACTTTATGTAGTGGACTTGAGCATTTGTGAATTTTGGTATTGGCAGAAGTTCCTGGAACCAGTCTTTCATGGATAGACAATTGTATGTGTTGTGTAGCAGTTTTTTCAGTTGTCTCATTTTAACAGTTTGAATAAAATACTCTGACACCATGTGTTTTCACATTTCCTAAAGCACCTTTGCAGGTTTTCAGGACAACCATTTAATACTTCAAAAATGATTTCAGTGAATTTGTAGTCTTGCTGATTTTTGTTTAGTTTTGCGTTTGGACCTATTTATAATCAATTTTATTGATGTACAGCTTATACAGAGTTTCGCTCTTGTTAACCAGGCTGGAGTGCAATGGTGCCATCTTGGCTCACCGCAACCTCCGCCTCCTGGGTTCAGGCAATTCTCCTGCTTCAGCCTCCCAAGTAGCTGGAACTACAGGCACATGCCACCGTGCCCAGCTAATTTTTTCATTTTTAGTAGACACGGGGTTTCACCATGTTGACCATGATGGTCTCGATCCCTTGACCTCGTGATCCACCCGCTTTGGCCTCCCAAAGTGCTGGGATTATAGGCGTGAGCCACCGTGCCCGGCCCACATGTATCTTTTATAAACAAAAGTCTCTTGCCCATTTTTCATTGAGTTGTCTTGTTACTTACTTGTAAGAGTTCTTCTTAGATTCTAGTTAGAAGTTTTGTTGGATATATATTTGAATAGTTTCTCCAAGTTTATGGCTTATATTTTTTATTTTCTTAGTTCTGTTTTGAGGAACAGAGCTTCATTTTGTTGAAGTCCAGCTTCTTAGGCTTAGACTTTTTGTGTCCTAGGAAATCTTTGCCTACCCAAGATCACGGACATTTTCTCCTGTTTAATTCTAGGCAATTTGTAGTTTAAATTTTTATGTTTCGGCCTCTAATAAGTCAATCTTTGTATATGGTTTGAGGTAATGGCCCAGGGGTTTTTTTGCATGTGGATTTACAGTTGTTTCAGTATCATTTGTTGAAAGTATCCCTTCTTTTTGGTTGTGTGGATCCAGAGACTGGAGGAAGACAGGGATTAAAAAGGAGCAGGAGGAAACTTGTGGGTGTGGTAGATATATTCCTTATCTTCACTGCGATGTTTTTCACATGGGTACATATAGCAGAACTCATCAAATTGTCTTTTTTTTTTTTTTTTTTTTCCTCTCTGTGGCCCAGGCTGGAGTACAGTGGTGCAATCTCAGCTCACTGCAATCCCCACCTCCCAGGTTCAAGCAATTCTCATGCCTCAGCCTCCCAAGTAGCTGGGATTACAGGCACCCACCACCCTGCCCAGCTAATTTTTGTGTTTTTAGTAGATATGGGGTTTCACCATGTTGATCAGGGTGGTCTAGAACTCCTGGCCTCAGGTAATCCACCCACCTCAGCCTCCCAAAGTGCTGGGATTACAGGTGTAAGCTGCTGTACCCAGCCCAAATTGTCTTTTAAATATGTGTGGAGTATTATACATTGATTGTACCTCAATAAAGCTCTTCTAAAAATATACAAAATAAACATTCATACTTGTGTTAACAAATTCAATTCTCTTCTGACCGTGATTATGAAATTTATAATTTGACCCATTCTGGGCAAGCAAGTCAAACTAAATTATTGACATTCTGTCTTCTCTTGGGTTCATTTCCAATATGCTATTTTATTTATTTATTTAGAGACCAAGTCTGGCTTTGTCTCCCAGGGTGAATTTCAGTGGCATGATCTCAGCTCACTACAACCTCCGCCTCCCGGGTTCAAGCAATTCTCCTGCCTCAGCCTCCCAAGTAGCTGGGATTACAGGTGCACATCACCATTTCTGGCTAGTTTTTGTAATTTTAGTAGAGGCGGGGTTTTGCCATGTTGACCAACTCGTCTCAAGTCTCAAACTCTTGACCTCAAGTGATCTGCCCACCTCAACCTCCCAAAGTGCTGGGATTACAGGTGTGAGCCACCATGTGCAGCCCTGTAATATTACTTTAGTCTAAACTCTTCTCGATGTTGTGAAGAAAAAAGACAATCCTGAATCTTTTTTATTTTTTTTTTTTAGACAGGGTCTCTGTCACCTAGGCTAGAGTGCAGTGGCACAACCGTGGTTCACTGCAGCCTCAAACTCCCAGTCTCAAGCTATCCTTCCACCTCAGCCTCCTGAGTAGCTGGGACCACAGTTACGCACCACCATACCCAGCTAATTTTTAAAATTTACTTTTTGCAGAAATAGGGTTTCCCTATGTGTCTCAGGCTGGTCTCAAACTCCTGGGCTCAAGTGATCTGCCCACATTAGCCTCCCAAAGTGTTAGGATTACAGGCATGAGCCACCTTGTCTGGCCCTGAATCTGTTACTGTTTTTTTTAAGAGACAGAGTCTCACTATATTGTCCAGGCCGGCCTCTCAACTCCTGAGCTCAAGCAATCTCACCTCAGTCTCCCAACTAGCTGGGACTACAGGCATGCCCCACCACATCCAGCTATGCTGACTCTTAAAGAGACTCTTAGTCTAAGAGGAAATTTCAAATGAGAGGTGCCCTAGGATTTTTCACATATCAAAAGCCATTGTGACCAGTCAAGATTGGGAACAGAGAATCGGAATCTCACAGACTGCTGAATCAAATTCGATGTTTGTTTACAGGGAGGGGAAAAAAGTCCAGAGAAGTCAACTAGATTGTCCTAGATCACACAGCAAGTATTAACAGAACCAAAATTCAACCCAAGGTGTCCTCACCTCCATCCCATCCTTTTTTTTTTAATACACTTTGTGTTGGACAAGTGGCATATGGCACCAGAATGTTATCCAGATACATAAATAATTTGGAGCTGGGCACAGTGGCTCACACCTGTAATTCCAGCTTTTCGGGAGGCCAAAGTGGGAGGATTGTGTGAGCACAGGATTTCAAGACCAGCCTGGGCAATATAGTGAGTCCTTGTCTACAAAAGATTTAAAAATTAGCTGGTGATGCCTGCCTGTGGTCCCAGCTACTAGGGAGGCTGAGGTGGGGGATAATTTGAACCCAAGAGGCGTAGGTTGCAGTGAGCCCAGATTGCACCACTGTACTCCAACATGGGCAACAGACCGAGACCCTGTCTCAAGAATACTATCATAAAAAATTTGGTTCTAATAAGAAAGAGCAATCAATACCGAAAAAGCAGGACAATTTAAGTAAATGGGGAAAAAAATCAGAAAAAAGAGAATATAAATGGGCCAAACTTGCCAATTAGAGGAGACTAATTGGCAACACTAATCAAAGGAAAGCTTATGTTGCTATATTATGACAAGAAGAATAGGCTGGGTGTGGTTGCTCACGCCTGTAATCCTAGCACTTTGGGAGGCATAGGTGGGAAGATCATTTGAGCTCAGGGGTTCAAGACTGTCCTAGGCAGCATGGCAAAATCCTGTCTCTACAAAAAATACAAAAATTAGCTGAGAGTGGTGGCACATGCCTGTAGTCCCAGCACCTCAGTCGGCTGAGGTGGAAGGATGGCTTGAGCCTGGGAAATCAAGGCTGCAGTGAGCCATGATTGCAACACTGCACTCAGCCTGGCTGACAGTGAGACCCTGTCTCAAAAAAGAAATAAACTTGAAGACAAATCCATCATTAGGAATAGACTCATTATGTAATTATAAAAAGTTCAATTGACCAAGAAGACATAATTTTTAAGATACATAAGCAGTTAATAAGATAATCAGAAAGGCTGGGCGCGGGGGCTCACACCTATAATCCCAGCACTTTGGGAGGCCAAAGCGGGTGGATCACGAGGTCAAGAGATCGAGACCATCCTGGTCAACATGGTGAAACCCTGTCTCTACTAAAAATACAAAAATTAGCTGGGCATGGTGGCCCGCACCTGTAGTCCCAGCTACTCAGGAGGCTGAGGCAGGAGAATTGCTTGAACCCAGGAGGTGGAGGTTGGGGTGAGCTGAGATCGCGCCATTGCACTCCAGCCTGGGTAACAAGAGTGAAACTCCATCTCAAAAAAAAAAAAAAAGATAACCAAAAAATAAAGCTAAAATGGATAAAACTTTATGACAGGAAAACGCTATCACAGTGGGAGATTACAACACCTCTCAATTCTTGATGGGTCATGTAACAAAAAACACAAAGTAGATTGAACACTCCACTGAGTGTGCTCTAATGGACATATATTGAATTCTGCATCCAGCAGTAAGAGGATATAGGAACACACGGAACATTTACCAACGCTCATTCCATGCAGGCCATGAGGACTCAATACATTTCAGAAAATAAGGCCACATTCTCCGAGTACATCACAATTAAGTTACATGACAATAACAAAAAGACACATTTTAAGTCTACATATTTGCTGAGAGACTGTGTAGAGTAATGGTTAAAAACAAATATTCTGGGCTGGGCATGGCAGCTCACACCTGTAATCCCAGCACTTTGGGAGTCCAAGGCAGGCAGATCACTTGAGGTCAGGAGTTTGAGACCAGCCTGGCCAACATGGTGAACATGGTCTCTACTAAAAAACATGGTTTCTACTAAAAAAAATACAAAAATTAGTTGGGCGTGGTGGTGGGTGCCTGTGATCCCAGTTATTCGGGAGGAGGAGGTTGCAGTGAGCTGAGATTGCACCACTGCACTCCAGCCTGGATGACAGAGCAAGACCCCTATATCAAAAAAAAAAAAAGTCATATTTCTAAAGATCTAAAGTACTAATTAATGGGACATGGGACATGGTTTATTTCCATTTAAAACAGAGTCTTTTGGATAAAGGCTCATTCCCTTGGGTCTTCTCCTGCCCCATTCTTTCCTTCACCCCAGGAGGCATCTGAACGAGGGAAAAGCTGTCAGACATCATGGCGCTGGTGGATGGAGTGGGAGTTCTGTCCACCTGTTCTCTGAGGCTCCTGCTCCCTGGGCACACCTGGCCTTTGAGCACCAGCCTTCACCGTTGCTGCCTCTGCTACAGAGGTGACTGCAGCTGGGCACTCACTGATTCTTGGGCTGAATCCTCTCCTGTGGCCCAGAATGGAGCCGCTGACTCTGAAACTCAGTGGCAAGCTCCCCGCAGCTCCCAGCACAGGGCAGTTCCCTCAGAAGCCTTGCTAAGTGTGCTCCCCAGCTCCAAGGCAACCTGGAATTTATGTAAACTTTTTTTTTTTTAATTGAGACAGTACCTGAGTCTATTGCCCAGGCTCGAGTGCAGTAGTGTGATCACAGCTCACTGCAACCTCCACTTTCCTGAGTTTAAGTGATTCTCCTGCCTCAGCCTCCCAAGTAGCTGGGACTACAGGTGTGTGCCACCACATCCAGCTAAGTTTTGTTTTGTAGAGATGGGGTTTCATTATGCTGTCCAGGCTAGTCTTGAACTCCTGAACTGAAGCTATCTGAAGCCCACCTTAGCCTCCTAAAGTGCTGGGATTACAGGCCTGAGCCACTGTGCTGGACTCATTTTAAACTCTTAATTCTCAGCTACCTTATTATTCTCTATTGACAATAAGAGAGAGAAAAAAAAGAAAAAAGAAAAAGGGCAGAGCACTTAGTGCCGGGCTGTCAGCAGGTATTTTCGCATTAAACATTGGTCTTCTCAGTCAAGGCTCACAGTCCAGTAAGACAGGCATTTTAGCAGAACGTTCTCCTCTAACCCTAGGGTTATGCACTCAATTGTGTTTCAGAAAATTCATAAATTGAAGCCCTAATCCCCAATATTACTATATCTGGGGAGAGGGCCCTACGGAGGTAATTAAGATTAAAAGAGGTCCTCTGTTCTACCAAGCCTGGCTAAATTTTTTTTTTTTTTTTGAGACAGAGTTTCGCTCTGTCACCAAGCCCCGGGCTGAAGTGCAGTGGCGCGATCTCAGCTCACTGCAACCTCTGTCTCCAGGGTTCAGCCTCCCGAGTAGCTGGGATTACAGGCGCATGCCACCACACCCAGCTAATTTTTGTATTTTTAGTCTAGACGGGGTTTCACCATGTTGGCCAGGATGGTCTCCATCTGTTGACTTCATGATCTGCGTGCCTCAGCCTCCCAAAGTGCTGGAATTATAGGCATGAGCCACCGTGCCCTTTTTTTTTTTTTTTTTTTTTTGGTAAAAACAATGTCTCACTTTGTTGCGAGGCTGCTCTTCAACTCCTTGCCTCAAGAAACCCTCCTGCCTCAGACTCCCACACTGGATTAGAGGCATGAGCTATGGTGCCTGGTCCAAATCAGATTTTTTTAAGAGGCTACCGCTCTTTCACACTCCCCCATCCCAAAATGCAGCAAGGTAATTATAATTCAGCTGTATCAGCAAGACTGACTCAGGAAGAAAAGAGTGAATGGGGTCCATGTCTATTTCTGTAAACAATGGAAATCTTCATTACAACCCTGCAAAGCCAGGATCACTATTCCTATCTAACAGATGAAGACACTGCTCAGAGATGACAGTGCCTGGTTTAAGATCCCCTAGAAAGGCTCACAGCCAGAAATACAGCCCTGTTAGTCTGATTCCAAAATCTATGTTGTTTTCACTGAAGTCTATGCTGGTTTTATTCCCTTGAAAAGCCCTCTCTCCAATCCTAGGCTAATTTATTAGTTGCTAGGAGGAAGCCATGAGGCTGGAGTGGACTCCTTGGGAACAGGAACTGTTTCCTCACTAGGGGAAGACAAAGGAGCTGGGCGCTCAGGAGGGAGGGGCTCTGCAGCAGCTGAAGCCCATGACCCAGCCCCTCCTCAGAGCCAGCTGGTCTTCATAAAGGAGCTCTTGATTCTTCCTTAAAGGTTTTTTTCCTCCAAGGATGGGGGATGAAGCAGGGGAAACTTGACCTCTTTCCTTGGCATGGGAACTCACATTCCCTGCCCCTCCTGCCCCACGTGAAATTTACAGTCATGTCTGAAGCTTCTTGAAGTGGAAACCATTCGTGAAGAAATGGCAAGAAAACCATCTCCTGAAGAATTTCCCTGCGTTGCAGATGACTTCCTGAGCCAACAGAAAGACATGGTGAGTACGAGGAGAAATACAGGAATAAGGACCAAGCGAATTCAGGAGGGGAGCTGGAACCCGGTTTTAGAGGATGAGGGCAGGGGAAAGAATGGGACTATAGTCTGGGGACAGTGGCTCAGGCCTGTAATCCCAGCACTTTGGGAGGCCGAGGCAGGTGGATCAGTTGAGTCCTTGACTGGGTTCTTGAGTCAAGAATACCCTGGTCAACATGGCGAAACCACATCTCTACTAAAAGTATAAAAATTAGCTGGGTGTGGTGATAGGCGCCTGTAATTCCAGCTTCTTGGGAGGCTGAGGAACGAGAATCGCTTGAACCTGGGAGGCGGAGGTTGCAGTGAGCTGAGATCATGCCACTGTGAGATTCTGTCTCAAATAAATAAATAAATAAAAGGGACTATAACTCCAGTGGGCACTGGGTCCCAAGAAACCTACCAAGAAACCTAGAGGTAGCAGTGACCCTGGGTAACAGACCTGCTCAGAGCCAGGAATGCTTCAGTGACTATCAGCTTGGATTCAGTGACTATCAGCAGAAGGCTTTACATTTGGGTCTCTAGGTATATTAGTCTTCTCAGGCTGTTGTAACAAAATACTACATGCTATGGGGCTTAAACAACAGATATTCATTCTCACTATTCTGCAGGGAGACTAGAAGTCCGATATCAAGGTGCTAGAGAATTCAGTTTCTGGTGAGGACACTCTTCCTGGCTTGTATTCAGCCACCTTCTCGCTGTGTCCTTAGGTGACCTTTCCTTTGTTCACACACAGTGAGAAAAAGAGAGCTCTTGGGTATTGTTTTCCTGTTTACAGGGGTACCAATCCTATTGGATTAGGTCCTGCTCTTAGGACACTGAACTGGTGTCTTCATCTGTTAGATAGGAATAGTGATCCTGGCTTTGCAGGGTTTTAATGAAGATTTCCATTGTTTACGGAAATAGACATGGACCCCATTCACTCTTTTCTTCCTGAGTCAGTCTTGCTGATACAGCTGAACTATAATTACCTTGCTGCATTTTGGGATGGGGGAGTGTGAAAGAGCAGTAGCCTCTTAAAAAATCCAATTTGGACCAGGTGCCATAGCTCACGCCTCTAATCCCAGTATGGAGTCTGAGGCAGAAGGGTTTCTTGAGGCAAGGAGTTGAAGACCAGCCTCGGCAACAAAGTGAGACATTGTTTCTAAAAAAAAAAAAAAAAAAAAAAAATTAGCCAGGGTGGCAGGCTGAGGCAGGAAGATCACTTAAGCCCAGGAGTTCCAGGCTGTAGTGAGCCATGATTGTGCCACTGCATTCTAGCCTTGGCAACAGAGCAGGAACTGTCTCAAATAAAATAAATAAAATAAAAATAAAAAGTCTGATTTATCCTTTGTTGTTGTTCAAGAAGTATGCCTTCAGAAAAAGCAGGCTAACCACAATTGCTGCCCAAGCACATCTTCAGAAAGGCAAATGCACCCTCCAAATGATACATTAGTGAGCAATCATTCAAAGACTAAATGTTGATGACTTTGGCAGTGGGGATTTTTTTTTTTTAATGTATGCATGCATGAATGAATGAAAGGCCTTCCTAAAGTCTGGCTTGGATGGATATACTAAGCCTTGGGCATTCTCAGCTCTTCTTGTATTACCCACTCTCCCTTCTCTTTGGGCTGCTTTGGAGAGAGACTCCAAGGTACTGAGACCCAGCATCTTGGGAACTGCAGGACATGCCTTGCAAAGACATGGCACATCTTCCTGGCAGTCATTTCTCTGCCTGTTCTGCCAGACGCTTGGTGATGCCACTCAGGGTATGATTTGCCCTTCAGTAGAGACAGTTTGCTAGCTAGACCCAGGTCCTGCCCCTACCTTGTTTTGTTATTGTGAAAACAAACAAAGGGGTAGCCCAGTGGGGGACAGGGGAAGGTGAAAGAACACAATAAGGTCACAGGGCCCTGCTCTAAGTGTGTCCCGTGCATGCCATAGGGGTTGGGGGCCAGAGACAAGATCCTCCTGGTGCTGAGAAAACAGCAATGGATTTAGAGCCCCAAAAGCTGGCATTTAAGCTCTACCTCCTTCCTGGCTGTGTAAGTTTGGGCAGCCAGTTAACCTTCACATGTAATACGCAAGTGCTACCAAAGCCATCTCAGGGCTGGTGTGAGGAATGCATTTAACATTTACGCATTTATTTATTATTCACTCTAACAGTGAATGCAAAAGGGCTTAGTTGAAGAGTAAAGTACTAAAAACTTACCGTGGTTAAGACTTTGGCTGTGAGTCTGATGGTTGGTGTGTTTGACTGTATTACTGTCCATCAATAATCAGTGTCCTTCCCTGGAGTCAGGCTTGGTCATGTGACTCGGCCAATGTGAGCAGAAGTGTCCCATCAGTTCCAAGGGGAAGTTTCAAAACTTATTAGCAATTCCCCAGCTCTATCCTCTGCCCTAGGGATGGAGGGAGCATGTGTGAAAATGGGGCCCTGGGGAATCGGGGACCTGAGTGATTAGAATGAGTACAGCTCCCAGGCTGCTGCTTGATGGGCCCCTTACACCAGCTGGTTTAGGCCACTGGGATTTGGGGGTTGATTGTGACTGCAGCAAAACCTAGCCTGGCATCACCATACAGACGAGTGCCGTTTCTTTACGCAGTTTAATAGAAAAACAACAAAAGAAAACACGCACAAAGAAAACACATAGAAAATAACAGCAAACACAACACAGGCTTGGGGAGATGGCAGGCGGGCCTGAGCTGGGTGCTACTTGCTGCTGCTCTTGGGAAGAGGCCGGTAGACTCCGACCACCACAGCGTGGTCCCTCTCATACGGCTCCAGGGTCAGCTGCTCTTGAGGCTTCAAGTTCTCCTGCTGCAACTTCCTCACCTCAGAAGCAAACACAGCCTCGGCGGATGCAGTGGAGTCGATGCAGTTGGCCTTGATGGAGATGAGAAAGTGGCCCCCGTTGCGCAGGAAGGTGTGGGCGTTCAGGGCCACGATGCGGGACTGGTCCGGCTGGGCCACGTCGGCGAAGATCACGTCCACCATCCCGATGAGCATGCGGTACTTGAGCGGGTGCCGCGCGTCCTCCAGGACCGGGATGATGTTGGTGCGCTTCTTGGCCACGTTGACCAGATCGCGGCCAGCGCGGTGGGAGAACTCGACCGCGTAGACCAGGCCGTCCGGGCCGATGATGTCGGAGACATGGGAGACTGTGGTGCCCGACGCGGCGCCCAGGTACAGCACCTTGGACTTGGGCTTGATGTGGATCTGGTCCACCCCGCCCAGGATGGCCGCGGCCAGCTTGGAGCGGAACGGGTTCCACGTGCGGTACTCCTGCTTCACGCCGCCCTCGGTCACCGTGACGCGCCTCTCGCCGTACACCGACAGGCCAGGCACCATGTTCAGCGTGACCAGCGCATCCTCCGCCCCGCGGTAGATGAAGACGCCCTCGTGCCGGTGCGGCTCCACCGACACCACCATGGCGCCCTTCCTGCGGCGGCTCCTGCTCTTGGCCACTCCGCCCCGCCGCTGCCCGCCGCCGCCGCGATCCCTGCCGTCCCCGCCGCCGCGCCCCCGGCCCCGGCCGCCCCCGCCGAAGCCGCGCGCCCGCGCCCCGAAACCGCCCTTGCCCCCCGGGCCGCCGCCGCCGTCGCCCCCGCCGCCTTTGCCCGCGCCGCCGCCGCCGCCGCTGCCTCGGCCTCCGCTCCAGCCGCCCCAGCCGCCGCCCCCGCGGCCTCCCCCACCGCCCCCGCGCGAGCTCGCCGCCGACTTCATGGAGCGCCCCGGGGCAAATCCGCGGGTTACCGGTGCCTCGGGCCGGGTGTTGGGGGGCTCCTGTGGCTCTGGGTGGTCGTCCCGGCGGGGGACGCGGGAGGCCGGCGGCGGCGGTGAGCAAGGTGATCGGCGGCGGGCGGCGGGGGCGGGATCGGCTCTACCGCAGTCCCCGCATCCCGGAGCCGCCCCTTGACGCAGCGGTTGTGGCGCGATTGCATCACACCCGCCCCCGCGACCCCGCGGCCCGGAAGCCCCGCAGCCCAAGCCCGCGTGCAGACGCAGCCTCCTGCCCTCTCACCCGGCCCCTTCCCCATCTCCCGCCTTCCCAGGGACCCCTGGCACTTCCCGGAGCCGCAGGGCGGGGGCATCTCTGCCGCAGGAGAGGGGGAGGTAAACATCAGCTTCAGTCCTTGCTGGGCCACCAGTTCTGGGAATATTGATCAGCCAGGAAGTGTTGATTCTTCAGTGTGAGTGGTGATACACAGGCCAGTACCCGAAATCACAAGGCACTTCAGCAAGAGCCAAAATGCCATGTTCATCCTCGAAGTCTAGTCTATGCTTCAAAAGCACACTCTCAATATGCAGCATTTTCTTGAGGAAAGAAAAAGAGAGCGAGAGAGCGAGAGCGAGCGAGAGAGAGAGAGAGAGATGGGGGGCGGGGGGAGAAGAAAAGAATAACTGAGCAGCACCAAGTACCAATGGCCCCAACACCGCAACGCTGAGGCGTTAGCGTTCGGTCAGCACCAGGGACAGAGATAGCAACTGGGGCCCTTTTGACTACTGCAATGGGACTTTGGGACCCCCAGCCCAAAAGGGCTGTGGAAAGCGGGGTAGGTAGTGAAACAACTGGCCAGCCTCCCATTAGTTGCAGTAAGTGCCCACTCCAGAGGGAGAGACAACGCATATCTGAAGATCTGAGCATGTACCAAACGAACGCCCAGTATATGCCTTATAACTTTCGTTCCGTCCTGGACCACAGCTCTTCCCGTCTCACACTCATGGATGGCAGGGCCATCTCTGGTTTTGCCTGAGGACTGGAGAGTCTCCTTAATGGGGCCCAGAATTCTATGAACTGGAATGTGAACAAGGGATCAGTGAGCAAAATGTATGATTCCTGAGGTTGAACGGTTGACATAAAATACTCTCCTTAGAGGTTTCCACGCTTGCTACGAGTTGGATGTTTTCCAAAATGATGAACCACACTTGGTGTCTTTGAGAGTTAATTTTATGTGTCAACTTTATTGGGCCACGGGTGCCCAGAT